TTATCATACATTTTAATTCATCTTTAATCAACAAGTTACCAAAATTTTGTGCGATTTTGAGTGATAGTTCCTGAGATATTGATATCAATATGGTGACACCCCCCAAAAAATAAAACTAAAAATTCTCATAATCTCCCTTTCGCAAAAGTAAAAAACTTGATTTTCCTGTGCATTGAGTTCACCAGAGCATTTATTTTTTCATAGCATAAATAGTCAACCCTTCCGACGGTAGTCTTAATGGCTGAGATTAGCTGTATTATTCCAAAGTCAACAAATCCCCCCGCTCAATCGAATCCTGCAAATTTTCGATTTAGGATAGAATGTACAGAACCCAGCAGGTTTGTTACTTGTGAATGTTTGAAAAAAGTATCGACAAATATTAGCTACATTTTTTCAGTGTAAACATGCTAAAAAACATGACGCAAGTGACGCGTACGAGCGCGTTTGAGAGTAAAATCGACGTAAGCTGGCCAAGCTCGAGGCCCAAATTAGAGCGGAGAGTTTCTGTCAGTTTAGGGTGAAAAAAGTGAGAATGTTTGTCTGCTGTATAAATATCAGTTTCGGTGATAATGTCTTGACAATAACCGAGGTGGCGTGATGAAAAGCCTTATCTTGTTGTGACGTTGGTACGCGCGAACGTCACCGTCATGGTTGGTTGGAAACATTTTAAGTTCACTCTCTGACAACCAAAAAACACTTTTATTTGGTTTAAAAGTTGAAAACAATCAGTACAGCAGCATGTTTTTGCCTTTTTATTCACTTATGCAATATTGAATTCAATTACTAAACTCACAGTAGATTCCGTCAGCCATACCACGATTGCAAGAAATTTATACTGACTGCAAAAATGCAAAAACGATGTCTATAACTCTAATGCACAGTATGGTGGTTCAAAATTTTATAACAAAATTATCATCATTAACGTGCACGTGGTTTTTTACTTTTTATCATTTCCCCTACGTGATGCCATACATTTCATGGTTGAGTAGTTTTGACTAGTGATTTTGGTGAAAAGTAACCAAAATAAACATCTGACCAATTTTCATAATTTTCGGTCACATAGTCAAAAAAATTTCCCATATTATGTTCTTGTGCGTTTCTTTTTCCTTTCAGTATATAAAAAAACAATAACGCTATAGATCTGCAGCTACTTTGAAGTCAGCATGAATTCCCCTGTTTAAGAACATACATAAATATTTCTCAGTCAAAGTTTGATTTGGGAGGCAAATATTGGTTATTACAGAATAGAGTTCTTTAACTTTTATGTTATGAAGGAAAACGTATTAAATATATGCTCTTGAAATGTAACACATAGAAATTTGAGAATTTCTCATTTTTTGCACAATTTTTAGTGTATCTGTCATAATTTGTAGCAATCCATAAAACAGGTAAATTTCGTTAATTTTTGACATTTTAAGATACCCTTTCTTGAAACAAGACGAAGAATTTCTTGTTTCGTATAATGTACAGTATTGTATTCCTCATCATATATATAATAAAATTTTAGCAAAAGTCTTCTTTATCATTTGTCAATCGCATTATCGTCGGAAACCGGGATAACAACCTTGGATTTATTAACATCACGGTAGATTTTCCCCAAATTTAGCAAGGGCACTGAAGTCAATGTTAGATGAATATCGTATAAAAATAAAGAGTTTCTTTATTGTAGTTATTGAAGATAATGTGGAATTTACACTAAAATCAATATTTGGGAAAATTGTATGACTCTATGAAATTAAAAAGCTGAGCAAAGTCATGAGCACTCGAATTAGACTCGGCCTCGTTAAAATACTAAAGGGGACAATAGGGGTTTGCAAAACTTCGTGCACCATAATAAAATGAAGCGTATTTTTTCACATAAATAATGGAATTTTATATAATTAAGAAATCACACTTTGAAATTATTTAAATAACTGAATTTTGAAACGACAGTACAACTGATTGGTAGACTGAGGTCGTTATAATGTTTTTTATGTTATAATAAGAGCAAAAATTGGCACTTTCCTAAAATGAATATTCCTATGAATATCATGCATTTCTTCCAAAGCTTGAGCACATTTAACTGTTCATCTTAATATGTAATAATATTGTTGATCATTTTTCAATTAGAAAATGCATGCTGTGTGTTTTAATTCGCATTTCGTTAAATTATTAGAGATTTACTAATTTTCATAATTGAAATCACCATTATTAATAATTGTATTATGGTAAACATTAAAGAGAAACTTTAAAGAATTACAGTGGGTAAAACGCAGTTACATTAATATATATTGAGAATTCAGAGACACTTTCAACTATTGAACGCCTGATTTTCAAAACTTGATGATCGGGCTACCATAATCAGCACAGAACATGCATGATTTTCGCAATTATAGTTTAAACTATTTCAAATATTACAACCCAGTTTGTAATGAAAGCAAAATAATCGACGCGTATTTGTCTGTCGCTTGACGACATGGCTCGGCGTAAAAGATTGAGTGGAATAGAGTAATGTAGAGACATGGATAACAGTACAGAAAGTTATAAAACCTCTTATATAAATAAACCTTTCCTTTATGATGTCATTCTGAATTTGTGTAAAAGAATGAAACAAGAAACAAAACTGTAACTATAAATGTGACATAGAAGATTATGTAAGAAAAAAAATTATTAGAGAATACATCCGATCTAGACTCAAATATATGACTGCAAACCTATCCAAACAGACAAACATAGAAAGTGCTGTTAACAGCTTTAATATAAAACAGTTAGGAACTGATCAAAACATTTTAATTATTAAAGTACACTGAAATGCCAAATAAAGCCATATACTCGTATGTTATATTTTTTATAAGTTCAATAAGTTCAGATAAACAAAATTTAAAATATCCTTTTATGTTTTACTTTATGTATAGATAGAGCTTTCTGTACAATTTTGATCGATCACGTTTAAAGGATGACAAACATTTGAAATGTTATCTGATGTTTTTACCGACTCCATCTTTATAAAACAGACAGGCTTAAGTCAATTTAACTATATATAGAATCAATGTTAACAAAGTCAAAATCTATGGAAATTTTAATTTGAACGTAAATAACATCATGTATATATTCAGTCATTTTCCTATTATTATTCTTTTTAACTCAGATACTTCATACATACATGTACATGTAGCTTTAATCCTTTAAAAAAAATACTATTAAAGTAAAAGCTCCCCGTTTTTATGATATTTGAAAGTTATTATTTTTTGTCTGTTTCATTTCATTATTTGTTGTTTTTCATTTTATAATCATTATAGCATTTCACTTGGAAATATACTAAAAAAAACTTATCAGGAAATTATTGAAACTAAGAATTTTTTGGACGCATTTGATTGATACTAGTATATCTTCGCACTTTCAATTATCTGAAAATCATATAAATGTGTTGCAAACGTTAATTATATTTTTAAATAATTTACTACAATCCAAGATTTTTGATAAAATCAGAATCCACTGTATTCCTAAATTATGATGAAATTCATATTTATTAAACATGAAGCTACATGCATTTAACTCTTAATTGTCCTCTCTAATAGTTAATCCTCAAAAACAACAAAGAATTACTCAGTTATTATAAATTATTATTTAAGATGTTCAGATCTCTGACGAGGAATGTCAGTTCGGGATAGAAGTGCCTTCATGTCACTTAGTCTTGATTATTCAAAAAAAAAATTGGGGATCTTCTGTATGACATTAATTCAAAGGTTACTAGTTTTAAGCTCACCTCAACAAAGTTGGGGGAGCTTATATTATACCCTCGGCGCTGGCGTTGGTGTCGGCGTCCCAGGTTAAGGTTTTTGGAGCGATTTTCTTTTTAAGTACTTCTATGTCCTATATTGATAAGACATGCAGATACGATGCTTCTAGTGTGTTTCATTGTGCCAGTCAAGGTTTCAGATGCTGCAATTTCAGCAAAGTAATGAGCAGGTTAATGTTTTTGGAGCAGGTTATTATATTTGGTGCAGTTTTTGGTGTAGGTCTCATTTCTAAGTAACTATAAGACCTATGTTGATCAAACTTGCATGGAAGATTCATCTAAGGATGCACACTACCAGATTTGCTTCGGATGCTGAATCTGACCTACATTTTCCGGTTGAGTGAACAGGTTAAAGTTTTTTGTGCAGGTTTCATTTTCAAGTTACTATGAGCCCTATAACGACTTAACTTGCATGGATGATACATCTGAGGATGCATTCTACCAGGCTGGCTCCGGATGCTAAATCTGACATTTTCTGGATGAGTTAAAAGTTTAGTTTTTTATGCAGCTTTCATTTCCAAGAAACTATGAGCCCTATGTTGAGCAACTTGCATGGATGATACATCTTAGGATGCACACTAATGGACTTGCTTAAGATGCTGAATTCGACATACATTTTCCAGATAATCGATAAGGTGAAAGTTATGGGTGCATGTCTATTGCCAAGAAACTATAAGGCTTATATAAACCAAACTTGCACAAATGGTGCATCAAGGGATGAAAACTCTCAAACTTTTAATTACGTTATCATGACGAAGAACTAACTATGTTGAAGTTTTTTTTATGTAGATCTATTCCAAAGTATCAAATTAAAATTGAATAAATTTTGCATTTTCGGATGAGCACTTTTTGTTGGTCAATTGTGTGACTTTGCCTTACTTAAACATGTTTAAGACAACATTCGTTGAGGTGAGCTCTGCAATCTCTGATTACCCATGTTTTTTAGTTGCATCGATTTTGTTATTTGTTTTATTCTTTTTACGAATCTAAAATGACATTGCAATAGAGAGACTGAATGTAATTATTTGTTTGGTTGTAATTTGTTTTTCAACTTTCTGTACTGCTACACACACTCCACTCCATAACTCAACAACACTCCACTCTACTCAACTTTTTAACCAGTCCTGAACAAACACTGGGAGTTTGAATAAGACTGATATTGCTTGTCTCTTTGTATATATATCTATCACACAAGGCCAGTCTTAGTTTTTTTTTTAATAAAATCAAAACGAAAGTAATATATGAGAGTGTGAATGGTGAATTCTTGTCAACTAGTTTGATATATCGGAGAAGTGTTTCGAACAAAATAGTTTCAAAGGTAAGTGATTCTGCACACTCTCAAAAATAAAATTTTTAAGTACCTTATTCTAGCCTGAAAATCAATATAACAAAAATTCTCTCAATGAAGTTCTTTAACTTTTTCCGCAAGGTCAGCAAGCAAAATGGCCACAGCAAGCACATGGGCCCAAGAAATCATCACTTGTGACATTTGTAACAAATCTGCCTATCAATTTTGTAATAGCTGCCAGGTCAAACTCTGTGGAAACTGCATCAATAAACATGTTGATGCCTATAAACTACTTCCGCATGACATTGTTCCTTTTACAAGCAGAAGTGTGAAGGTGGTTAGTCAACAATGTGATATACACCTTGGCCAGAAATGCGAAGCCTGCTGCCAACAATGCGACGTCCTGGTCTGTATGAAATGCGTTATACTTCACATCAAGGCCACCGAATAGGAGAAATTCCTTCTGATTACCATGACAACAAGAAGAAAATTATTCTAGAAACAGAAGAACTTCAAAAACACTTGGATTCAGAAAGACAGCAAAGTGATGACCGCAGTATTTCAGATAATATTTCTAAAACTACAGAAAAGTTTGAAGATCTTGAACGAAAATTAGAAGAGCCCAGGAAACAATGGCATCAGGAAGTGGACAAGATCTTTGATAATTACCAGGTTTCAGTTAGGTCTTTGAAGAACAAGGCTGTTAAATCCATTACAGAACACAAATATGCATCTTGTAGCAAGTCCCAGAGAATGCTCGAAACAATAAAAGAAAATAAAGCTATCTTAAGGTCCAAAACAGTCTCTAAGGTTGTCAACTACGAATCAAAACTTCAGGAATACAAATCTAACGGTAAAGCTGAAGACATTGATTTAAACATTCCCTCCTTAAAAGTAAACACAAACCGAGGTAAATAACTTATCATAGAATTTGGCGAACTCAAAGCTTTATTAACACATAAGTCACTTTTTGATCAGACCAATGTCAACACAGATTTGTCTCCGATAGTTTCATTTGGCATGGTTAGAGTGGTTGCTGATATTCAAACTCCATTGGGTGATCTTAATCTTGACGCAGTTTCTTGCATGGGATCTGATGAAGCATGGATTGCTAGTACAAGCAAAAAAATATTTTGTTTTGATGTTAATGAATGTGAAAAGAAATCTGTCGCCATCAAAGGGAATGCAGTTGATATTTCAGTAAACCAACGGGGTGGACTAATGTACAGTGACAGTATCAATTACAGAGTGATGATTGTCAGGTTAGGTTTGACGAAAGAGCTGATAAAAGCACCTACAGGTTGGATGCCACTGGGACTATGCTGTACCAATTTAGATGATATCCTAGTCAACATGGCTACATATGATTACAACAATCATACAATAGTACGTTATGAGGGACAAATAGTAAAACAGGAAATAGAAAAAGATTCTTATGGCAAAGCCTTTTACCGGGAAGGAAATTTTATACTTTATATAGCAGAAAACAGAAATGGGGATATTTGTGCCTCTGATGGAAATGCGAAGAAAGTGGTCGTCGTGAACGAGAAAGGAAAACTCAAATTCCGGTACAATGGTTCTCTTGCTAACAGGAATAAAGAATTTTGTCCAGAGCAAATCACTACAGATTCCAAGAGTCAGATCATTGTTACAGATCAAAACAATGATTGCTTACACATTGGATCAGGATGGACATTTTTTACATTGTGTAGATAACTGTGGATTAGACAGACCTGGGGGTTTGAGTGTAGACAGTAAGGGAAGGTTCTGGGTTGGTATGAATTCTGGGAAATTGAAAGTGATTTCTTTGAACATGTAAATATGCAAGAAAGATTGTTTGCCAATGAACTAATGAATATTTCTCATTTAACAATACGCCATCGTCAAAATATTTTGTGAATTAATAGAATGAATGTTAATTTAGATCTTCCAAATAACATTTGCTTTATCTATTGACCGTTAATGACACAGTATTACAATATATTGGACTGATTTTTTCTACTTAGACTGATGCTATATTTCAAATGATTGAGATTGATCGACTTGAAGATGAATATTGATGCATGCATGTTAACACACAAGCAGAAAACGTCACAGATTTCGTTTTATTGTACAGTTCTGTAGTATCAGGACCTACAAGAAATCATAAAATTATACACTAATCCAACGTTTTAGTCTCCCAAATACTAAAAATAATATTATATATATAATTTAAAAAGCCATCTTTATATGATTGTTGGGATTCCCTTTTTGGAGCAGGTAAACATTTCGGTGCATGTTAACGTTTTTGTTGCAGGTTTCATTTCCAACCATAAGCAGGTTGGGGGAAATCCGCTATGATAGTGGTATATCACTATTATAGTGAAATTACGCTATAGGCCTATTTACCGCTGTGGATAACATCAATGTCATCCGATACCATGCAAAGCGTTTGAACCGCGTCATGGTGGGTATTAAAATGAACAAAAAGTGTCATGCTTACATGTTTTGAATTTTAATAAATTTTTTACCGTTGCGTTTAATAATGCGAGCACTCTTTTTTAACGGAAGTTGCATTTTTAACATAGCAACCGATGATTGCGGGCGTATTCAAGCCTGTTTGAATCTCACTTTCTGCTCATTAATGTACACAAATTAATGCTTGTTAGAATTGTAAACTTCAACGGAAAAGGCTTTATGGAATCAAATATTTCATCTACAAGTAAGGTTAAGGAGGCTAGGGGGTCAACAAATTATTTTTTTATCAACCACCAGATATAACTTAATTTTTTTTAGAAATGATTTCTTAACTTGTCAACTATCATTCGGAAAAGAAAAATTTCATAAATTTTGTTTTTAAAATTTTATCATTTTATTGTATCTTTTATAGAACCGTTCTTTTGAAGGAGATCAAAATAGTCTAAAAAAAAAAAAAAAAAAAAAAAAAAAAAGGCCATAACCACCCAGCCCCTTTAAGGTCTGATCTATCGAAATGAAAAATGCAGACATTCTCAAAAATGTATTTCTTTGATCTGAAAAATACAGGTATAAGATCATCCAGGCACATGATTGTCAGATGGCGCATCCAAAGCATATATATTATTTGTGCATCATAGGATGCTTCATTCAAGCAAGTCTGGTTCAAGTAGATCTCATAGTGTGTATTCCAAGATGAATCGACCTGTTTAAAGAGCCTTAGTTTGGTTGCTCATCCAGAGGGTGTAGGTAACATTCACTAGTTTCCATTCTCGATACACTATTAATGCATGTTTGATTACCATAAAGCTTAAAGTTACGTGTACTTAGAAAAAACAATTTAAGTGTTTATTCATAAAAAATTATAGGTCAGTTCCAGCATCTGAAGCTAGTGTGATTATGGCATCTATAGATACTTTATCCATGCAGGTTTGGTCTGTGAAAGACTTTCAGTTAAATTATACTTGGGAATGGTTTCAAAAACTTTCACTTAGTCTCGAAAAACTTTCGCTTTATCTTGAAAAATAAAAAGCATATTTTCTATGTGCATCACAAGATGTGCCAAAGAGAGAGAATAATATGACTTATTGTGTTGACAAGTCAGCATCTTCAGATATAGAGAGCGATACCACTTATTGTGTTGACAAGTCAGCATCTTCCGATATAGAGGTCAGTATGTCTTATTGTGTTGAAAAGTCAAAATAATCGATCACTTCAGAGTCACTGGTCTTGTCCTTGGAGCTGTTGAACCTCTGTATTGTCTAAATGGGTTTATCCTTCAGTTTCTCAAAACTCAGCTTGGCAGCCAGGGCAGATTCTCTGGAAAAAAAAACAGCACGTTCTTTAGATGTGTAAAGAAAAAGCTTACTTCAGTATTATTTTCCATTTTAAAACTGAATAAACATAATATAAATGTGCAATATTTCTTTGTTGGAATACATAGAACAGTATACATTAACATATATTATCAAATTTTAAAATAGGTTTCCAAAAAACTAAAAGTTATATTATATAATTTAAAAGGCCATCTTTATAGAATTGTTGGGATTCCCTTTTTGGAGCAGGTAAACATTTCGGTGCATGTTTTAAAACATTTTTGGTGCAGGTTTCATTTCCAAGTAAACCTATGTTGATCAAACTTGCATGGGCGATAAATCAAACGATGCACTCTTCCAGGCTTGCGTCGGATTCTGGACCTGACATTTAACAGATGAGTGAATGGGTTAAATTCTTTGGTGCAAGTCCAATCTCCAAGTAACTATGAAAAGGATATGGAGATAACGAACAGTATTCAATATCAAAGTTCATAAAACAATACAAAATATGAGCAGAGCAAACTCGGACCTCCGAAACATCACAGGTGGGATCAGGTGCCTTGGAGGAGTGAACATCCCCTGCTTACCGGTCACACCCGCAGTGTGCTCCTTTCATGATCAGGAAATAATGGAAAAATTCATCGTCAATTCAGTGTATAAATAATGGACTAACAATTACAATGAAAAAACGTCAGTCAGCATTTGACTTTATCATAAATTTTATTTCCTGACAAGGTCATTGTATCGACCATAGAAATTACGAAATGATGAATTTAAACGAGACTGCTGATATTCTTGTTTCATCAACTTGCTTGTCAATAATTTACCTCGTTTTAGAAATTGTTCATAAGTAGAGCTAGCATGCTGCATAAGTAAGGGAAGTTGACAATAGAAAAGTTAAAGTCATCACATTCATCATATAGTTGGTTGTTAGATTACCATAAACGTCTTTTTCAAGTAAAATATCCAAGTATGAAACAGATGTGCGAGACTCTGTGGTATCTTTTATCTCAAGCTCACCAGGATATATCGTATCGACGTAGGAATGAAAATTACTATTGTTAATTGACAATACATCGTCTAAATATGTATGTTCGAGCTGAAGGTCACAGAAAGTGTTTGAGTACCTGTGTGTGCAATCAGAATTTGTTTTAACAAAATAATTTTGCAAATGACCAATGAGCAATGACCAAATAAATTAACGAGATCCATTTTTATTGAAAAATTAGCTGTCAATGATATCAAAAAACCTTGAATTTAATTTACCATGGAGAATAGTTGTGTAAAGAGTTGAAAAGGCGTAAGTTTTTAAGCTGTTACTTTTAGTAAAATCTTGTGATTTCAAATTGTTCAAAAGTTCTTTGGAATTTTTGAGTATCATGTATATCTGATTCACACCACTTCTTTAATTTATAGTTGCACAGTACTCTTGAAGTTTTTCCTTTACTACTGTCAATATCTTAGTGAGGAGTAACGAAAGAGGCTTGGTTGACCATTTACTGGAACCTGCAATGTATCTTTGTTTGTAAGGATTTTTGTGAAGTTTCGGAATCCAATATATATAGGGTAGTTCAAATTCATTTTGGCTCTGTGGAAAATTTAATATTTAAAACTGATCACATATGATTTTGAAGAATTTCTTCCTTAGAAAAGGAAATATAAGTAGGACTACTAATGGTAGGATTAAATTTAAGATCTTCTACAATACAATTTAAATAATGAGCCTTACAAACGAAGACAATGTAGTTACCTGCTTTGTCGGCAGTGACCAGGACGTACTGATCATGTAATCTATCTAATTATTTTTTCACTTCTAGATTATTGAACACAGAAGGATATATGGTTTTCATATTGTTCCTCAATCTTTTAATACGCGACTTTAACATAGATCTGATAAATTTAGACTTATGATGACCAAACGTACATGGATGATATATCAAAGGCTGCACATTACCGGGTTTGCGTCAGATGCTCAATCTAACCTACATTTTTCGGATGAGAAAACAGATTGATGTCTTTGTTGCAGCTCTCCTTTTAAATTAACTGTGAGCTCTATGGACCGACATTTTACAGATGAATGAATACGGTATAGTTATTGGTGCGGGTCTCCTTTCAAAGTAATTATGAGCCACCCCTTTGTTGAGCAAACTTGCTTGGATGATACATCGAAGGACGCACACTTATGACTTGCTTCGAATGCTTAAATCCGACCTACTAAATGAGTGAACAGGTTAATGGTTTTGGAACAGGTATCTTTCCCGTGATATGTTTAAGCCCCATGTTTAGCAAATTTGCATGAATTTACACTAATAATTAAATTACTTTGAATAATGGATCCGACATAGATTTTCCAGATAATGGACCAGGATTTAGTTATGGGTACAGGTCTATTACCAAGAACTTTACGGCCGCAAGGCCGGGAACATTTTCTACAATAACAAAGCAAAATAAATGGTTCGTGGCGATTAATATTTCCGACTGAAAGTAGATCATGGAACTCACGAATATTTTTCGCACGCGAATAAAAGTTTACGATAACCAAATTTGCATTGAAGAATGGGATGAACACTCTCAAACTTGCTAAAGATGCTGGATTTCAATTACATTTTCTTGATGGGGACTAGTTTGAAGGTTTTTCAATTAACTGCAAGACCTATCAAATCCAAATTGCATAAATTTGGTATTTATAGATTATTAGATAAAAGTGGGACTTTGCCTTACTTAAAGACAACATACGTTGAATTAAGCTCTGTTGTCTCCGGTTTAATATATGTAATAGATGTTTAAGTCAATATATGCATGATTGATCATGGTGGAGCAAAAATTGATCAAGGAATCTATAAAGTTAGTTTTGCCTAGCAATTTTTATGCCTGATCACAACCTTAACTGTACTTTAAAATTTTAATGAGCACTTTTGCAAACCGAAAAAATTAAGAATATGCTGTCGTTTATGGACTGAGTGATTAACGGCAGTGGTTTTCTTAAGAAATAAAGGAAATACTACTCAGAGTATTAATAAAATTAATTTGTGAAATTGCAAGGATGTGTCAATCAAAGCCGCCAAAAAATTGAAATTTTAAAATCTTTTGTATGAAACAAGATTTTTAATTAATTTTTGTGTGAAATGCCCTTAAAATATATAAGTCGAAATTTTATTATATAAATACTGCATGTAGTTGAATGTAACATTGAAAACTTTCACCCCAAGAAAACCATTGTCAACCGAGGCGCAGCCGAGGTTGACAATGGTTTTCGAGGGGTGAACAATTTCAATGTTACACTCAACTACATGCAATATTTATTATATTAAACTGAATGTTTCATACAAATACATATTACAAAGAACCGTGCGCGCATAAATTCCGCGCAGTCGCTATTTTTTGGAATACCACCCGTCGTCAAGCAATGTTGACTGTTGCTACGCAGGTGGGCGTGGCTCATTATTAGGCGGGGAGTAGTGTTTTTATAAAATGTTTCTCGACGAATCAGATTCAAGTAATTTACATGAAAGTATAATATAGAGAAAATAATGACTTCAAACCTGTGTCCAAGTACCTTTAAAACTACGCGTAGTCTATACGAGGCACATGTGCATGCATAGAAACTACTCTTTTTCGGTGAAAATCGGATGGTTAGGCAAACTTATATTCATCGACAAAGAACATGTTCCGATAAACATAGTAAATACTATATATTGATTAATACACAATGTAGCTTAACGATGTGACCTATTTCTTCGTAAACGATCGCATTGTTACAGTCAAAAATGTTTTGATTAAATGTATCCGAGATGAAAATGACAAGTTTTTCACGCTAATTATATATAGGCAATACCTCTTCTTTTAAACTCTTCATATTCATAAGATGTTTTGTAATAAAATAAACCACGTGTTTCTTTTATTGATCATTTGAAAAATCTTTGGCGTGTGATTAAATCTATTCGATTCAAGCACAATTTTATGATGTGTACATGATTTGACATAGAAAAACCGCATTTATATCAAATCGAAAGTAAAATGTTGAGATAACCTAGTTTCAAAGGTGAGTCATTATCTTGGAAATATTTTGAATGTATAATAATTCAATATTTTATCGCTTTAATGAGCTTAAAAATTACCAATCACATACACAAAATGAAGTTATTTTCTATTCCTTTCCGTAACTTTTTTAACAGATTCAACAATAACCACTCATACCAGTATCAAAACAATGTCAAAAGGCAAAATAACCTCACTTAAGACATGGGCTCAGGAAGTAGTTATTTGTGATGAATGTGACAAAACACCTGCGAATCAATTTTGTAACAGCTGCCAAGTCAAACTTTGTGGGAACTGTATCAATGAACATGCCAAGCTACTTTCGCATGACATTGTTCATTATACAAAAAGAAATGAAAAAATGGTCAGCCAGCAATGTGAATTACACCCAGGTCAGAAATTCCAGGCAGTCTGTCAACAATGTGATGTCCTGGTTTGCATAAAATGCATCATTACTTCGCACAAAGGCCACGAAATCGATGAAATTCCAGCCAAATACTATGATAACAGAAAGAAAATTATGCAAGAATCAGAAGAACTTCAGGAGCAGCTGAATTTACAAGGGCAGCGAAGTGATGCACGAAAATCAAATCTTTCAAAATTAACAGTAGATTTTGAAAATCTTGAAACAGAATTAGAAAAACATAGAAAGTGCTGGCAAGAGGAAGTAGACGGAATTTTTGATAAACACAAGAGTTTGATTAGGTCCACAAAGGACAAGGCGATGATAACCTATTTCACACAAGAGCAAGATCTGAAACGAAGAAACGAAAGAAAACTTCAAACAATAAAAGAAAACAAAGAAATTCTGAGGTCCAAAACAGTCTCCAAAATTGTCGACTACATATCAAAGCTTCAGGAATATAAAGCTATACCTAATCTGAATGATGTAGCCGTACCTTCCTTAAAAGTGAAGACAGACCGAGGTAAAGAACTCAGCATAGAATTTGGGGACCACAGGGCTACATTGGCACAGACATTACACGTCAAATTGACGAAAGCTGTTCCTGAGTTTCATTCGACAGCAATGTTTTCAAGAGGCAGAATTATTGCTAATATCCAGCCTTCAGCGAAGTGCAAATATCTTGATGCAGTAGCCTGTGTCGGATCTGATGAAGCATGGCTTGGTTGTGGAAGCGAATTCATTTTACGCTTGGACATACGTGGGTCTGAAAAGGCGTCTGTCAAAATTACGAACGATCCGGCTGACATCTCGGTAACTCAACAAGGGGAACTGATATACACTGATAGAAATAGTGTTATGATTGTTAGAGCTGGTATGACAGAAACTTTGATAAAAGCTCCTGAATGCTGGAAGCCGTGGGGGCTTTGCTGCACCGATTCAGGTGATATCCTTGTCAACATGGTTACTGACAATGCTATTCATGATCACAAAATAGTTCGTTATACTGGGCTGAAAGCTATACAGGAAATAGAGAATGATTCTGATGGAAATCCTATTTTTCAAAGGGGAAACTTTATCATATATTTAGCTGAAAATAAAAACGGGGACATTTGTGCCTCCGATGGAAATGCAAAGAAAGTGGTTGTGATGGCTGCAACAGGGGCAGTCAGATTTAGGTATGATGGCGATCAAGCCAAAAGGAAGAAATATTTCTCTCCAGAACAAATAGCTACTGATTCCAGGAGTCAGATCATTGTGACAGATCACAACAATGATTGTATACATATACTTGATCAGAATGGACAGTTCTTACAGTGTGTGGACGACTGTGGATTAGATACACCAGGAGGTTTAAGTGTAGACAGTAAGGGAAGATGCTGGGTTGGGTTGCATTCTGGAAAATTGAAAGTGATCTCATTAAACATGTAGACCTGCAAGAAAGGTGGTTTGCTGATGAACTATTGAAATAGAACTTATCAGCATTATGCTTCAGACAAAATTTTAAGAGATAACAGAGTGCATCTAAATTTTAGATCAGATTTGCTTTAACAATCTTTGATAGCCATAGCTGTGACAATGAAGTGACAATGAAGTGCTTATACAGCTCTTCATTATCATGGCATGAAGACTATGAGCCCGGCGGCAACAAAGTTTGAAAAAAAACCTATTTAAGAACATAGGTCACAGGCAAGGTCACAAGGTCATTGACCTTGGTGCCATGTGAAAGAACATGATTAGTGGAGTATGCATACCGAATATGCCAATGAAGTCTCTATCTTTTATGTGTCAAAAATTATGGCAAAAGTAGGAAAAGGCTATTCTTAGCATATAGGTCACAGTCAAGATCACAGGTTCATTGACCTGTGTGTCATTTTAGAGGGTATTAAGGGGAGTGTGCATACTAAATATAAAGTCTCTATCTTTCAAGGTTTCAAAGTTATGGCGAAGGTTAAAGTTTGCAGACAAAGATTATTTTTAGCATGTAGGTCACAAGTCAAGGACACAAGGTCAATGACCTCGGTATCATTGGAAAAAAATTCAATTAGTGGAGTATGCACACCAATTATTGTCTCTATCTTTCATGGTTCAAAAACTATGACGAAGATTAAAGTTTGCAGACAAACAAACAAAAAAAAAACAAACAGACAGACAGGACAAAAACAATATACGTCTCGGATCTATCGATCCGGGCGCATAAAAAGACTTGTATATTTTTCACTAAATTATGAAAGACAGCTTATATTGTTTATATAGGGTGTTGCATTTATAGAACCATTTGCTTGGAACGTTTTGGTCATATTCCCCTTTGAGTTTAAGTATGGTGTTAACTTCATCGTATGGATAATAAATTGAAAAATATACAAGAAACTGGGAAAAAGCTTTTTCATTATCCTGGAAAGGAGTGAAGTGCGAACATCATGAACATACAAGCTTGAAAAATATGCTATTTTAAATCAAGCTGCCAATTCATCAATTATGTTTATATTTTGCATTTATTTTGTTTTATTTTTTCATATAAAAAAAATGGCTTCTTCACTATTACAAATGCTGAAACTGGTACTTGTAACTCAAAATTACATGTATATAGCCATATATTTTTATCCGTTTTCATGATCTGAAATAGAAAATTCTGTATTTGTATAGACAATATAAACTATATTAAATGAATAATCACTTGGTTAATGAATGACAAAGTTAATTAAATATTACAAAACTCATCTCGTTCAATATGTCTTTTTGTGATCTGGAAAATGTAGGGCAGATCTGTGATCCAGGTACATGAATGTCAGAGAGCTCAGCCAAAGTACATCTGGTTATTGTGCATCCTAATGTATAATACTTCATGCATGCAAGTTTGGTCCAAGTACGAGTAGGCTTTATAATTACTAGTATTTGGTAATAAAAATGCTCAAAAAACTTCCAACTTTTTTACTCATGGAAATTTAGGTCTTGTACAACCTAGTAGAGATAATTTATCGAGTTATTATGATTCATGCAACATGTGTAATCTGTACTGGTAGTTCTTTTATTTGGGAATAGACCTGTCACTGACATCAAGAAGATGTAGGTCACTTTATATTCAGCATTTAATTTAAGTATTAATAGTTTACATTCTTATATATGCATCATCTTTGCATATTTAATTGGTCACCATAGGGCTTATAGATATATGGGGGTAACGAACGTACAGTATTCAAGATCAAGAGTCCATAAATCAATTTACTATAGGAGCAGAGCAAACACGGACCTCCAAAACATCAGAGGTGGGATCAGATGCCATGGAAGAGTGAGCACTAGACGCTGACCTGTCACTACCGGCGTGTGCTCGTTGTCATAATCAGGAAAATCGTCGTCAGTTCAGTGTGTAAATAATGGACTAACAACTAGTATGAAAAACGGCAGTCAGCTTTTGATTCACTGATAAATTTTATTTGCTGACAATGTCATTCTATCGAGCATAGAACTTACTAAAGGATGACTTTAAAGGGGACTGCTGATATTCTTGTTTCATCAACTTGTTTGTCATTCATTAGAAACTGAGTACATGTAGAGCATGGTCTTGTGTATCGAATCAACTGAGAGGTATAAACTCCTGCTATTGTTGCATAAGGGAAATTTACAAATGACGTTCATCATAGAGCTTACTAGTATATGGTTGTTATATTGCCATTCACGTTTTTTCAAGTAAAATATCCAAATAGGAAACAGATAAGACTCTCATATTATCTTATACATTCATAGGCGTAGTCACGGGGGGGGGGGGGGGCAGCGGGGGCCCTAGCCCCCAGATCTGGGGGGGGGGGGGGCAAGAGTATGTCTGAGCCCCCCCCCACTTTTTAATGAAGAACAAAAGCACAGCTATTTTGAAATAATATTAAACCTCAGTTTATGTCATTTTTTCTATATTCAACAACTGAGTAAGCATTTCTATTGAAGTAATATAGTTGTATAATGTGGGTCAAAAAATTGGAATTGAAAGTAACTTGCCTTTGAAAAAAAGATGTCCACTAACACACACACCCCCACGATATAGGATTTTCGAGTACGGAGAACTTTCACTTTTAAGGCATTTTTTTTTTTTTTTTTTTTTTTGCTTGTCAAAGAATTTCTCGACTTGAGCCCCCCCCCCCCCCCCCCCCCCCCCCCCAAAAAAAAAAAACAAAAAATTTTAAAAAAAAAAAAAAAAAACTTTTTTTTTTTTTTTTTTTTTTTTTTTTTTTTTTTCTTTTTTTTTTTTTTTGCTTGTCAAAGAATTTCTGGACTTGAGCCCCCTCACTTTTAAATTTGTGACTACGCCTCTGACATTGTATTATATTATCTACAATTACCATTGAAGAAATCTGAAAGAACAATCCTAACAAAACTAAGAATTAGTGCTCATACACTACATATTGAAATGGGGAGATACTCAAGGCCACCTATTCCTAAAGAAAAACGTTTATATGTCATTTTCGAAAATTTTTATTTAAAATGAAAACCATTTTGTACTTTATTGTCCTAGTTATAATCAATGAAGATTACAATTTTATGATATATTCAATGCTCATTGTTACATGAAGGAAAACCCTATTATTGATATTATTAACCCTACAAGATTAAAACTGCTAGCCCAGTCAGCATCAATATGTTGGCCCAATGTAATGCCAACAATATTCATTTTGTTGGCCCAACGTTGCATACCAATGTTGGTTCAATGTTTAAGTGCAAAGTGGGCTCATGTTGGGCCAACGTATTGGCTTTACGTTGGCCCAACATTAGACGCCAATTGCATGGATGTTGGCCCAACCATGGATATATGTTGGGCCTCGTACTAGACTTCAAATATTGGACTTATGTTGGCCCAGTATGTCTTTTACATTGGCCCAATGTGTCTTTTACGTTGGCTTAGAGTTTCTTTTACATTGGCCCAGCGTTCCTCTAGCTAACATCGGCCCATTGTTTCTCTGATGTTGGCCCGGTGTTATTTTCACATTTGCTCAGCGTCTTTTTACGTTGGCCCAGAGTTTGTTTTACGTTGACCCAGTGTTCTCAACCAATGACTCATATTTTAAATTTCCAATAAGTGGGAGAAATAACAAGAATAAGATAATTTGATACGGTTTACTAATTAAATCATTTACATGAATTAAAAACACTAAATCAAAAATTAAAAACTTAATTAAAGTCATAGGGTAATAATGATAATTCACCAGATACCAAAAAATTCAAAGTCATTTCAAGGCCATTCATCGGTTGGTCGCCTTCTATTTTGCTGCTGTTTTTTGTTTCCTCTCCTTCCTACCCCCATCCCTATCGCAAGAGTATCGTAACCATGCAGTCCTTTTCAGCATCTTCGATATCTTTGTCTTTTGTATCTTTGCAACATCCATTCTTTCTCACAATTACTGTCAAAATAAGATACTGTGATTTTATTTGTTATGTGAAAAAAATGTTTTTAATTACTTAAACCTGCACACTACAGAGATCTATTTTGTAGGGTAATTTTATGTCACTAGAGTGATCTGCCTTTAGAAGTAAGATAGAAAAATATTGTTTCGGTATTTACAGGTAATTACACAATTTATGTTGGATTAAGATATTCTAATCATTATATTACACAAACTTAGATAAACTAATGTACAAATTAAAATACAAATGTGTTTTTGGTTTACTTTATTAGCAATCATTTTGATGACACGATATTTGTGAAACATTATGTCAAAAGTATGAAAAAATTGTAATCTTAGTTCAATAAATTAATATGACTTTGATGCATTACCCTTGACACATGTCTGATCTTTGACAATTAGACATATTTTTCATGTTTAATTAAATTTGTAAGTTGTCGATCCACACACATACAAACAAACAAACCAAGATAGTATATCTTGGGAGTATAAAATAATATTTTAAAGATATGTAAAAAAAAAAAAAAAATACTCACACAGCAACACATCTTTCAATGAGAAAAAGGAAAATGCTCTCTTATCATCCCTCCCTAGCCAGTTCATTTTCTTTGCAACACCGATGTCTATCATGGAACTCATAATTCTCCGTACACTTTAAATTTGTTTTGTAATGTCCCCTCTAATCGTTCCAAGTTTTCTTACCTAAAAAGTACCATGTGATTTTAATGCTTAATGATATTACCATAGCTCTTCATTAAATACTTCCACTATTTTTATCCGTACTGTTTATAATGGGTCGGTTTAATGTCATATGATTATTTACAAAATTATTTACAAAATAAAAAAAATGTATCAGACACAGAAATAAAAAAATTATAAATGTATTTGGGAATCACACATACTTTGACGCTTCCGGTTAGTATCGGAAAGACCCGAGATCGCTGCACAATTTTTAAGGACTTTTTTGTCTGAGACCTTATTGAAAGTAGAATACTGGTCTAAGGGAACTAATATTATAGTATTTATAGCACCATAATTCAAAGCTTGTAGACAAGGAAATAGATTTACATAATAATGATATCACTTACAAAGATTATACTTATATACACGTGTCTCTATCAACAAGGATCGCCCCCTCCCCACGTTCCCCCATGCATGTGCGAAAATGGAGCGTTGCGCATTTTAATGAGTTAATTATTATATATACAGTGTATATATTTTACTCATTTCTATTTTAAAGGACAAGGGTTTAGATTTATCCCACATACAAAAATTTAAACCCAAAATCACTTATAATGAGAAAAGAATATGCATACATGTACAGATCGAATTTGCTACATTGTAGATCAAAATCTGTTCCACTGTGTTACTATCATTGATAGAAAATTTCCTTTTAAAATACTCATGCACATAAAAAAAATCAGAAATACTTACATTTTGCTTTAACTGCGTCTATCCTCAAACAAAATTCAGTCCTTTGTCTTTGTTCTCTACATCTTGCGCGCGAGGAAGGCTGACCTCTATTTAACTCAAAAACTTAATTTATTGCCCTCCTGGGAGTGACATCTTTTCAAGAGTGGAAAAGCACACACAGCTACAATGCTACATTTGCTTTACACTTAATGTGTCTTCTACAATGTTCTCGATCCACAGCCAAGAATTTCTTTTAAAATTCTTAAATTGATACCTTTGTATGCAGTATTACTTTTTGGCTTTCACAAGGGAAACAGTTTTTTTTAATTTACAACAATATAAATTCGTGCATATAGCCAAGATATGCATGCATATGTATTTTCCTCCCAATATGATATATAATACGTTAATGATATCCAATGAAACCCATGAAGATTTATTTAATATCAAAATTACACAATATTTTTGATATATGTGTGTGCATGATACAGGGAGAGAAAGAGAAAATCGTTGGGTATAGTATTTAACACTAGCTTGATATAAACGTTGGGCCAACGTTTGACCAGCTGTGTTAGCCTTATACATTGGCATAAAAATATAGAGATATGTACCTAATTAACTAGTGTCTGTTAAGGAAATGTAATTTTTTTTACCATTAGTACAACAACATTTAATCAATAAATTAATAAACACATATTTACATGATTTATGCAGTACACATTTGACATAGTGGGCCAAAGTTGGTCCAACTAAAAATGTATAGGTAAAGCACTCAGAGATAAAGCCAGATAACAAAATTAACGTTATTAACTTATTATAGGATACATTCAATGTATAGTTGTATACTGATTCAGTTACACGTGTGTAGCGTTACATACTCATACAGTCATGATAAACTTTTTAGTAAAGTTATCCTCCCAGCTGTTGCAGTATATCTTTGATAAAAATTTCAGAATTTGCATTGGGCCAATAATGGTCCAACTACACGAAACCAACAATTTTATGCTAAGTTTGAAACATTGTGCCAACGCTGTCTTGCCAACGCTGACCCAATTGTTGTACACCTGCATATGTTCATTATGTTCAGTATTCAATATTGGGCCAACGTAGGTCCAACGATACAAAACCAATGTTTAAGATAGTAATTTCTGTGAAAATTACATACATTGGGCCAATGTTGGGTCAACAATGTAAAACCAGTGTATGTTATCACGACAACTTATGTGAGATTCAGATACATTGGGCCAACATTGGCCCAACAACGAATAACTGACATATGCTGATATTACCACTAAGAGCGTAATGTCTAACATTGGCCCAATGTTGGCCCAATCATGTTATACCAACACCAACCTTGAACCAACAGACCGTTACTCTACCAACGTTGGGCCAGTATATGAATGCTGACTGGGAGGAGAGTATGTATATAATTTTTTTAAAAAGTGTTTTGATATTAGGAACGAAAACCTTCAACAAACCTGATATGCTTTCTTTAATATTTTTCATTTCATGTATGTTAATTGTTGTATTCATGACTATATGCCAATGTATGATGGTGTTGTCATTAAACGAATTGAATTATTTTATCTCAGTCTCACCAGGATATATATTGTATCGACATTAGAGTGGAAATCACAATTGTTAATTGACAATATGTTGTCGATATATCTAAATGTTGAGTTGAAGGCAACAGCAAGTGTTTTCTTCTTTTCAACAGGATTGTAAACAATCTTTGCACCAACCATGAGCATAAAGTAACCATGTGCTTCTCTACTTTTTCCTTCTGCCTAACACAGAGCGAGGGAATCTTAGCAGAAAAAAAACAGAACTTTCCTGATAGCACGTGTACAATGTATATGCATGATAATTCAGCTTCTTCTGCAAATTATTTATTTTGGTAACAGTTTCTTTCTGGAACTTAGATTTTTATTATAACTTTTATCATTTCTCTTATCAACATGAGACAAAGGTAAACATATTTCAAATATCTTTTTAAAAGATGCATATACATGTATTTTCTCACCTGTGTTGTTTTTTATTGTACCATTTCTATTGATGCTTAAATCTTAAAATAATTTCTTGCAATGAAAATTTCGTACTGTTCAAAATTCTAGACTGTTCTCTAGAATCAGAATTCCATTCATCAATTTTTTCAAAAGAAGCAAAATTTTCAATATCAAAAACTACTTGAACTAGGTCAGGGCTATTTAATGCTGTAAATATACTTTAAAAATCGTTTTTAGAAACAATAAATTACTACACCATAGTTTTTGTTTATTTCATTTTAACTCCACCTCAGTAAGATGACATAATCAACAAAATTATATACACTGTAATTCATTTTACTCAAACCAATATGGAATCATGAATATGAATCAAACTCTGGAAGGTATGGGTCATTGTGTTAAAAAATGATAAATAAACCTTAAATCCTAAATGTTAAGAATTATCCATCTTTCAATTTTCTTAAATGAACAATCTATTTGATTCAAATGAACTTAAATCTGTTTATACACTGTACAGAATATACAGAAATTAACCTACATGTAATCTCAAAATGAAAATCAAAATATTCTCAAAACATTTCTTTAACAAGATATAACATGAAGAAAAATACATTGTATTTGTCGAGAAGTTTTGTACTACAAATCAAGGCATTTAGAAAATGAAAAAGAAAAAAAAATTATATCTATCTAACTTAATTATTTCACACATGAATTAAACTTATATAAGAATACTCTGCAACATTGCTGTGTGTCTGCATTTATTAAGTAAATACATGTAGGAGAAATTTGAATAAAAATTCTTTCAAAAAAAACATAAAAGTAAACAAAAATCCATGATTTGCATATAGATGAACAAAAAATGTTTCAGCAAACAAACAAAAAAATCCCTAAAATAAATTTCAGAATCTTCAGATAGAGAGGGCAATATGTCTTATTGTGTTGACAAGTCAGCATCTTCCAATATAGAGGGCATGTCTTACGGTGTTGAAAAGTCATTTTCAGATAGAGAGGGCAATATGTTTTATTGTGTAGAAAAGTCAAAATAATCGATCACTTTAGAGCCACTGGCCTTGTCCTTTGAGTTGTTGGACCTCTGTACTGTTTCAATAGGTTTATCCTTCAACACCTCAAAACTCTGCTTGGCAGCCAGGGCAGATTCTCTGACAAAAGCAGCACAAGTTCTTTAATTAATTTTAAAAACAAGCCTACTTCACAGTTATTTTGAATATGGATAAAACATTTAGACTGTACGTTCAAAATTTTCATTTTTTGTAACAATTAAGGTTTCCACAGAAGCTAAAAATGGTGTTAAAGCCATAATATGTGTTCACATTTCTAATAAAATATTTAATCACATGCATTAAATATAATACCTGATTTCTGTTTCATTGTGTCTGTGGGGGATGGGAGTTGGAGCCTTGGGATGCATTTCCCTCTGTACATAAGCAGTCAAGGTCACGGTGGGTAACCAACACTTGTCTCTGAAATATAATTCATGTTAAATATTGTTATAATTATTCAATTGCTCAATCTCCCCCCCCCCCCAAAAAAAAAAAACCTTCTCAGACTTTATTTTTAGCTTTCATCATAATTACAAAGATAAGTCAAGACAAGAAAAAGTTGAGTTAAAGTAAAAATAATCCAAGCCATACTTGTAAGCAGTTGCGACGACATTTTTATTGGGTTCGTAATCGTAGCTCTGGGTCTCACACCCGTAACACTCGGCCAATTCATGGATCAGTCGTCTCTGGTCACGGTTCATTGACGGGAAGGAATGAGATCGATAGGCTTGTTTTGCCTGTAAGTAAATTTGATAGAAATCAATGCAATAAAGTTAAAGTTTTACCATTGTTATATGAACCAAAATGAAAAGTCTCTTTTATATATAAATACTGGCAATTACAATATAGGTATAGCTAAATGTGTCAGTTTATTGATTTCATATGAATGAAAATTGGTTTTACCTTTTTGGCATTTTGTACCAAATCATTGAAACTTTTCTCCACACTTGACACAATATGAAGATTTTTTCTTTTAAAAAAAAATTTTAACACATACATGTACATAAAACAGTCAAATGAAAAATAATTCTCAAATACATACAAGTCACAATAGCTATAGAACATCAATTTATCTTTTAGAACATAACTTCTAAATACATGTATCAACTGCCATTGCAGGAAAAACAATTTGCTACCCAACTGATTTCTAGGGAAGCTGAGAAGGAACAATTAGACTTAATATGTTGATGACTATATTCTCAATAACCATGTAGTTTTATTTATAAATTAAAATAATTAAATCCTGGGATCTTACTTGGTGAAATCCCTGAGGAATTCGGAGTAGGAGGGGCTGCCCAGCTTGGCCTGTAGGTCAGGGTTTTTGATCTCTAGGGCCAAGGCGAGTCGTCGATTTCTCTCAATCAGAGCACAATCAGCATCACATTCCAGCACTCTGTAGGCATTAAAATGATATATACTCTTAAGGACCCTCTACACACTAAAGCAGTATATGTTAACTGTAGAATCAATTTGACTTGTTGGGGGTCAATGTTCGAGGGCAAAGAGAATTTTACCTATTGGTGGGTGTGTTATTTCATAGATTTTGCATATTTATATAAAATATTAAATTAATAATATTAATAAATTAACTTTACAAAGTTTGTTGGGATTTAAATTTATGGGTAAAGATGACTAGTGAAATCCATGAACATACAAGTAGATGTTGTGTATGTTTCAATAGCAACTCTTGAAGTAAAATACAGTGAAAGTGAAACAAGTCTAAAAGCAAAATCACCTCTTGCAAAAAAGATTTGCTTTCTCATGAAAACACTAAATATCCATGGCAAACACAGTAATGTATGATTCTATACTCACTTTTGTTTTCTGGCCTTTTTCTGTGAGGTCAGATGAGAAATATCAACACTCTGTCCTGAACCCAGAGGCGTGGCTAGTGTCTGCATACTGAGGGTACCAAAGGTCAGAGGTTAAATAATGTAAACATTAGTCTCTTACTGAAGTTAATAATAATGCATTATTTTCCTTTCAATAAGACCAGAGATTGTAATGATATGCTCTGTAATACTCTAACAGGGAGTAAAAAACCAATGCTTATTCCATACTTGAAAAGGCAAGAAGAGGATGGCTTTATAATGGACTTGAGATTTAAAAATAGACTGACCTTTTGAACTCTGGGCTATCCAATGATTGACAGGAGACTGTCGCCTCTCTGTTTCCACAGCTACACTTGATCTTAACCTGGAATATTACATCCAACACAACTCTTAACATAAAGTAAACAAACTCTTCAGAGTTCCATTAAATAAATAAATTTTATTTTGATGACACCAAATGCAGAGGCATTTATCAGTGACGGAGGAAAAAAAAAGACCATTCAGAAAAAATTGATCATTAAAAGGAGTGAAGCATCAAGCAAATTAGTTTGTATAAAGAAATGATGCATTGGGTAAATTTTTTCCTATCAAAGAATGCATCAAGTAATTTTGTATCTTTAAAAACTTTATTAAAAATTCAAACCCTTAAATCCATTACCCTGGTAATACTACACAGAAATTCAAACTGACTAACCTTTGCTTTGCATGGATTGGCTGGGCATGGGTTGCCATAGTGACAGGGATTTGCACATGGATGGTCACAGTTTTCCCGTTTTATTTGACACGGTTGTTTACATTTCTCCCCCTCTGTCTGACAGGGACCCTGAATAAAAATAGATTATAATTGTTAAAACATATGGTTCAATATCCCTTGGCACGCTTTGTAAAGAATCAAATAGTTTTGGGATTGCTTTTATAGGAAAAATGTCATAAATTGTAAACAGCTTTTCAATTTTTACAGTTCTGTTGCAGAAATAAATTTTAACATTCATATGTATTTTTATACATGCATGTAACATCTTTCATCTTTTAATATATTATGTATTTAGCATTTCAATTATTTACTTCCTTCACAGTAAATAGTATTGAGTTTATTTTTACAATAATTATTTTTCATTTTCTTCAATAAAGTGAATCTAGAAGTTCTGTAACTTACACTGTGACAGACTTTTGTACACTTGTGTTGTTGGCATGGTAACACTTTGTTGCAGGGTAACCCACATGAAATGTTGTCACGGTGACAAGCAATATTCTTTCTGAGCTGTAAAAATAAATGTCAATCACTCTTCAAGTTTACTCATCATAAATAATAACAACTATTAATATATGTGAGCATTTTAAGATTCATTGAGATATTCTAATGTATTTATCATCTTGTTCTCTCTTGCACAATTGTGAGTAAATACTATAAGTAGTTCATCTTCATTTATTGTAGAATCTCAAATTTTTGTGGGGATAAAATTTCAGTGATTTGTCATCAAAAGTAGTTTCATGGGCATTTAATTTCGTTGTTTAGAAAGTAAACCTATTCAATATATGGTCCTACAAAATTTCAAGTAGGATTTAATTTCGTTGATAATTGTTAACAACTAAATTTAATCCCCACGAATATTTGTGTTTTTACAGTTACAGTATTTATTTACATTTCATAGGTTATCTTGAATAAATTCGACATTGATAATGTCCAATACACTTAAGCATGGCTATCACCCAGATTTAAACAAACTCAGTTCAACAGCTATTGGCAAATTTTTTACCTCATGTTTTCCCATGCACCATTTCTCTGTTAGGAACGTACAAGGGGGACAATTCTCATCACTGTGACAGCGATGATGGACTGAAATAAACACATTTTTCTTTATTATGTAGCTGGGCCACAAATTAAAATCTTGGAAGCCTAGGATCATCACTATACAGTGAATTCCTTGATGCATAAAGAGAAAATGACATTACAGAGCAAGAACGATATGCATGTTTAGCAATGTTATATGTAAAAATCATAGTTACGTAGAACGTGACATCATAATAAAAGAAACGTGAATTTAACCATTGTGACGTAATGACAGCCAAGTCCGTTATGTTTGGACTGTGTCGGTGCATTCACTTTGAGTGATTATATAATATAACTATTATGAACTTCAGTGAACGGTCAATATGTGGTTATAAGGACTCATGGTAATTGATATTGACCTCAGACACAGAAAATGATAGCGACCTTGCAGGCTCGGTCGCTATCACTTTCTGTGTCTTCGGTCAATATCAATTGCCATGAGTCCTTATAACCACATATCGACCTACACTGAAGTCCATAATTGTATAATATCAATCTGATACATACTTTCATGATCACAGGAATGGACCCGGCTACAAATCTGTTTACATTCTGGAGGCTTCGTCCCGCAGGGAATCGGGGGATACATGATCTCCGCCCCACAGCGACAAGTCAGCTCATCAAAACCTATACATCAAAAAAACCAGATATCACTGAAGTTAAAGCAGGAAACATGATAATTAAAGAATACATAATTTTACACAAATGGGGAGTTTACAATTTAACAGTTAATTTGCCAGAAATTTTCCTCTTTAATGCTTTAAAACATGTTATTAAAAACTTCTCTCTGTTTCAAAAAAAATATTTTTTTCTAAATTTTATTGAAAATTTTCAACAGCATACTTATATTTTATATAAAATAAAAATCAATATAACAGTTAAATTATTATGGTGGCAATTGAGTCTCACTTCAGAGTTAAGCCAAGAATCTTTGATATACTGTAGAAACTTCCTTGCAAAATGGTAAACCTTGTATATTGGCCAAGTCATAATCCAAGGACCAACCTAGGGGGCGACTAGGGCGAAATAGTCGCTTTTGAGCTCCAAACTTCGCCGTAATTTATCATGAAAGCGAAGTTTAAGTCGCCTTAACTTTTGCATTTCCTTTATTGAGAATCATAAAAAATCTATTAAGAAACGTGGTAGAATCATCAGTATTGTATAAATCTGGTTTTATTACTGATGAAATAAGCGAAACAGCAGGACACTTGGACCTGTTTCTCTACTAATGACCAAGTCATCGAATACTCTGTCGGAACTCCTCTGGATTTTACGCTTCCGTGTATGTAAAAGTCCATTGTTACAAGTTTTACACAACAAGACGCAAAACAGCTGGACAGCTATCGATGTCATGCCAAAGATGTTGGAGATGATTATAGATCTTTTTATTGTCAAATAATTCATTCATGCTGTGAATACAGACATATTTTTACTGTTATATTATGGAGTTATTAACTGTCGGAAGAAATTACAAGTCTAATAAACACAGTCAAGTAGTTCAATCGGCATGCAGTAGTGCATAAAAACTTTTTTAGAAAAAGAATTGATGATAAATGAATTTTGAAGTGAAAAAAAAAATGACTATATGCAAAGAGCTTGAAAATCGAAAATAACAAGAGAGAATATTAAAGTTAAATGTGCATACTATGCAAGAAATGAAAAAAAATTGATAAACAAGTTTATTTATAAGAAATTTATGCAATGATATTGTTTAATTTTTGGGGTCAGATAATTTTATACTTTGTAATTGGAAAAATATAAAAACAAATTTTCAAAGATTTTTTTTTCTCTCTTTTTAATTATTTTTAGTATGATATTATTAAGGTAAAAATATTGAAATGTTATTTATCAATAAGTTATAAACAATGAAATAATTTTATTTTGAAAACGTTTGATAATGATTGATGTGTGCGGCACACACCAAGAAGTCTCCCTAAATTTTAAAACTTCTCCCTAAATTTCTCTGAGGGAGAAGTGAAGTCTCCCTAAATTTTTGGTCTAGGTTGGTCCCTGATAATCTAGTGAACTCAGCAACAAAATATTCCTCAAATGAGGGTGGAAAGTGATGATTATTCCAGAGATGCCTGATTTGTACTTACTGGCCATCAGACAAGGTGGACATTTTCCTCGGTGACAGAGTTCTTCACACTTGTGTAGACCGCAGGGCAGCTTCTTCCCACAGATTAATGAGCAAGGGTGATCCTCTGACTAAATATAAAAATACAAGGGTGATCCTCAGTCTAAATATAGAAATCAATAAGGAGGGGGGATCTTCAGACTAAATATAGCTATAAAGCAATAAACAGGGGTGATCCTTGGACTAAATATAGAAATAAATTAATGAACAAGGGTGATCCTAAGTCTAAATATAGAAATAAAGCAATGAACTGGGGTGATAAAACAAAACAATGAGCAACAATCTTTTCAAACTAAACATAGACAAAAACATTGAACATATGAAGCAAAGAATACAACTGATTTTCTATATATGTTTTTATGGAGCTTTAAAATTTTTTCATTTTTGTACATCTTACAAAATGATTGAAGTTTAAAAGCTTATATCTATCACCAGTTAAGATTAAGGGGAGGTAATTCTTACCACACAACAATGTTGTCCACACTTGTGTCTTTGACAGGATCGTAGCTTGTTACATTTCCTCTCACACAGAAATACTCGATCTAAAACGAGTTTTAAAATATATACATTTATTAATTTTAGATTACATATATAAAAACAACGTATTTATATATCAGCATTCTGTGAAACATATAATATCTGAAGTACATAGTAAATTAATTCCCATATTTGCAACTTAAAATTACAAAAGATAAAAGAAAAAAAATCATTTTCCTTTTCTCAGTTTACCATTATAAATTGTAATGCTCTTTTTAGGCATTGATTGGACAAATTTTCTTTCTTCATGAAGTACATTTTGTAATTGATGCAAAGAAAAGTTGAAAATAATGTCATCTTTGCTTTGATTCTTACAACTTCATAAAATATACACTCAATTTCCCTGCATTTTGTTAAATAATTCTTATATAACTTTTCATAACAATAAGTCAGTACCTGGTAGCTTCATGACTTCGGTACATGGGAACTCTTTTTTGAACTTGGTACAGCGACACGTCATTTCTGTTGTCAGGTCACATGGTCCACATGGGCCCTCATGGCACTTCCGCTCACAAATATGGGGTTTCTCTAAAAATAATTACATAGATTCAGAATAAAGCATTATAATTAGGATAAACAAATGTTTAATTAGATAAACTTTTTTGTAGGGTTACGGAGACTATGAACAGTGATAAAAGAAAATCTGTTGAATTTATTTGCATCCAAGCTTTGCTTGGCATCAAGATACTTTTAAATCACTCAAATTTTCAGGGTTTGAGGAAAAATATTGGTTCGTGGAGAAGTCATTTCACGAATAAAATTTTTGCTCAGGTAAAGATGGACTTTTACATTTCCTGGCAGACATGAATTTGAGTATCTCTACATACCTCAAAAAAACAATGTAAATTAACCTCCATAAAAAAAATCAGCCATTTCAGAGTTCTTTACATTAAAATAATTTTTTTTGTGTCATCAGGTGTCACTTACTAGATGGGCCACACTTCAGAGGTTTCCCACACTTGTTACCACAGGTGGGTATGGGGTCGAGACAGGACTGCCTGGGGGTGGATCCTAGGTCTTTCAGATCCCTGGCCCCACAGGGACAGGTCTTTATGACCTCGGGGAGGAGCAGACACGATTGACAGGGGCCTTCATGACACACCTCCTTACATTCATGGTTTCCACAGTTCAGCTTCCTGTTGTAAATTAAATATGTTGTTAGTACAAACTGATTCTCTTCCGTTATTCACATCATTCAGGGTTGTCCCTTAGAACAAGGGGCTGGGGGATTTCCCCGTCTATAATTACATAATCTTTTTTTTAATTCTACTTTCCCCTCAACCCCCTGTGAGGGGAGGAACCTTGGACCCCCTTCTTCTTTTCTAATGTACCACATTATCTGAATTCTACGGGACAACCCTGTTAGCATACCCTCATGTCAGTTGGTCCCTAAACTAGCTAATTCATATTAGTACAAATACATGTACATACATACAGTTAATTCTCGATAAACCGCCACCTTTTGTAATTTAGAAATCATGGCGGTATAACGAATTTGGCGATGAATTGAATTTCCCATCGTTAAGGAAACCAGAAGTAGAGTTACCGTTCTTAGAAATACAATTTAGCGTTTCTATTCTCATTATTACATGTACATGTACATATTAAAAACATATTTCTAAGTTTTAAAATACTTCAAGTAATTTTTTATGTACAATTTCGCTAAAACAAAATGTGCAGTTATGAAATAAAGACAAGCACATGTGGATGCATTTAAATCTGCACGACTGATATTGAAAAAAAAATGCTGGGTCGATCGTCGTGATATATTGCCGATAATATGTAAAATGAATTCTTGAATAAATTCATTGTTTAAGGCATCATTGTTAATAAAACATTCACAATTTATACCGTTTAATTATTTTTTAAGCAAATTTTGCATTGTTTAAAGCATAGATCATCAAAATAATATCGTTATCTGTGTTCTTAAACAATGACCGCCTTCGTGGCAAAGCCGTCACTAAATGATTTTTATTAAACAGAAAACAAAATTATCATAACAGTTCATGTTAAAATCATTGTTTATTTAATTCTTATTTAATTATTTAATTGCATTTACCTTGCCTGGCTTTGCATGCTTTACAACAGGGATAGCGTCAACCAATTAGCCGCGCTTCACTGACCACATGGTCTGTGGCGGTATATCGAGATAATTGACACTTAAAATTGGACGTTTGTTGTGAAAACTGGGTGGCGGATGGCGGTATGCGAATTTGGCGTTATAAAGAGAATTTTATATAGCAGGAAAAACGTTCTTGGCAAATCATGGCGGTATAGCGAAAATGGCGATGAATCGAATGGCGATAATTCGAGAATTGACTGTATGTTAATTGGACGTTGAGATATTTCAATGAAGTACAAAAATTAAAAGCAAAATTATATTTTAAGATATTTCTGAGCTTTATATGTTGAATTGATGCGAATAACTTTACTCTGAAGGTACTAGTATAACATACTTGGAACACGTCTTTCCACAGCAAAAAGAATCTGTAAAGGACTCACTGCTCCCACAAGTTATCTCCCTTGTTTCATGACTCCCATAGCACTCTGTAAAATCAGATATTATTATCACTGTTACCACATTGGTGGAGTTTTTGTTCAGAGCTGTATATTACTCAGAGAAATTAACAATTAGCCTTTCAGGAGGTGGTGGTTCAACATTTTACAAGCAAAATTAATAGGGCTAGTGCTTTTCATGTGGACAGGATCCCTGCCATTCAAACCATGTCCTGGCCTTTACAGTAAAGATTTATTAGTCTTATGACCTCTCACCTTTTTCAGATGTCCTCTTACCTTGTTTGATGACCTCCTGACAGGGTTCACACTGGCCGTCATGACACACAGCCTTACAGAAGTGTTTACCACAGTTCAGCTGTTTGTCACAGACACTAGAACATCTGAAGACCTCAACACTACTGCACTTCGTGGATTGACTACAAATTAAAACACCGCAAGTGAATTATCAAATAAAAGCAGGACAAGACATGGACAAAAACATCCTAGAGATGTTATAAAAAGGGTCAAGGTTACAACTGCCATATATAGTCCTATAGATGCAAAATTTTATTTTAACATCATCCTTTAAATCATTTGTAAATTGATTGGGTAGGGCTGATATTAACAGGTTGATGGGAGTACACCAAACATATAATTTCTTACATTGGTATTTTCACAAGTTTTATTTTTATGCACTTACATGATTACTAAGTATACTTCTGTAAAGTAGCAATAATAAAAACTGCCTCACATTCCCTTTTCACATTACTGTTTTGTTTTAAAAGTTGTAATTTTTGAGAGCAAAGATTCCTTATTACAATGTAAAAGGCATTTTATTTTCAAAATGCAAAGAAAAGGATTGCAAGAGTTGCCACCGGCTTGTACGCTAAGGCATGCCACAACATAATTATGATAATCTGTAGTAATATTGCTGCCATTACTCTATACCTGGTTTTCCCACACAGACAATGGCGGGGGACCACAGCGTTACACGGAGGGCAGGGTCCTGGGTGACACAGTCTGCAACAAGATTACAACAAAATTAAGATGGAATGACCAGACATTTCTACTAGTGACATACATGTCTTTTCTTTGACTTAATATTAACGTTAAGATCATACAGAAATCATGCTGGAATAATCAACCATCAACATCATTTAATGATGATATATTCAAAGATCAACAGTTTTAGTCAATAAATTATCCTGCTATAAAATAAGATGATTTGAATATAAGGTCAAGACATCTGGTCAAAAGGTCATCTGTCTCTGCTAGTCATGACTCAGTGTCTTTGGTGAAACGCCCACATACCAAATGCCAAAATCTTATGGGTTAAAACAAAAGTTTACCCCCCCCCCTGAAAATGACTTAGTCAAATCTCCATATATCAAAGACATATGAAGATCATAGCAGTATGGGTTATATTGACAAATGATACGTCCACATCCAACATGTGAGAAATCTGTCTAGTAAGGATGAGAAATCTAGCAAGGTTATATTAATGTTTGAGAAAAACAATTCTGTAAACATGGGCCAATCTTCACTGAGGGAAAGACAAACATATAGTACTTAATAAAAAATAGACAGAATTCAATTAATGCACTGTCAGCCTTTCAAATTCAATTACATGTACCATCGTTCCGATTGTGACATCTTTATTTTAAACACATTTTATGCAAGGTCAGCTGCAAGCACAGACATATGCAATAATGAATTCAAAATATATTCTATTCAAAATTGGGGAATAAATCTATCTTGCAAATGTTACATAATTTCATTTCTATTTTTGATAACTCTTTGAAAGTTTTTGAGTAGTTTATTTAAGGAATGAAGCTTATTTCAACATATGTTATACGATATGCGAACCGTTTTAGAAAAAAGCGTAAACTGCCCCAAGTTATGTTATATCGTATAACATAAGTTGAAATAAGCTTCATTCCTTATAATTTAATTTCAGTGTTGACAATAAGACAATTTTTCCTCCGGAAAAAGGCTTCAAATATAGCATATTTTAAAAGTAACGTCAAGCGGAGTGATACGTTTTTTGACGTAACTCATTGTGACGTAGGCAAGTTATGTTATACAAAATGGATAAAATCTTTTATCCAATCAAATGACGTGTTACAACAAAAATTTAATTATTTCTTGATAATTCTACCAGAATGCAAATAAGTAAATCGATAGGTCAGGGGCTAAGAAGGCCAAATATTAGGGCTGGGTATTGGCCCAAGATTTCGTATTGCGATATATTGCGATATTTTAAACTGTATTGCGATATGTATTGCAATATTTTCAATGTAATTAAAATGGCATTTTCTTACTATATTTACTTAATTTACATACAGAATGTACATAACTGTGAAAAGTAACCAACACGGAAAAAAATCTTGCTAATTTTATTTAAGTTATGCTCTGAAATGCTCTCACAAAACAACTTCTGTCTTACTGTTTGGCTTAATAACAAATTTTCATAAGTGCATTTTTATATTTAATGACAAAATTCCTTAATCTAAACATATTGCCAATATATCGATATTACAAAATCATATTGTGATACGATATTTTTTGTCATTGTATTGCAATATATTGAAATATCGATATTTTTGCCCAGCCCTACCAAATATGCAGGCGAATCTCATGCGCGTCTGTCTTTGTGCCTGATACTAAGGAGGCAAAATATGCATGAACATTTTGTGCTGTTGTCTTTGTATTCAAAATGGGCGAGGACTATTGAAATTGGCATGGGTGTCCTCCTGTAATTTAAATCTATTCTTCTACATTTTCATAATCTAAATATTATACAATTTTATTTCACAATGAAATGGAAATATAATGAATCACTGTCTAGTTAGTATAATATGCCAGGGACATCCTGGCATACTATACTAACTAGTGATTCCTTAAATAACGGTCAACGAGAATTACAGGATAATACCTACATGTTACAGTTGTGTTTACAGTTGATGGAGCGGATTTTCCGGCACACCTCTCCACAGCTGTGTGGAGTCTCCATTCTGTTCCACTCCGGATCTCGGACTTTTCCTATTGCAGGAAAAAATTACATTAATTTCTGAAAACTCTTTAATAAAACATATCACCGAGTAATTTATACTTTCATCCTCTTAATTGTTCAAGTTACAACAATACAACATTCCAATTCAATGGCTAGAGTGGGGACACATTGGGAAAACCAAGTAAATATATTCTCTGATATGTATGAATTCAAAATTGATAACTTGTAATCAATTCATTAGCTCTGTCTCTGTATAAACTAGAGAGGACTTTTGGTGAAGAAAGATACAATGTACTTACACAATAACCTGGTTTATACTGGTTTGTATGGTTTATAGCATAACCATTTAGATGGTTTTTAAAATATGTAATTTTTTCAGCAGTGTTGCAATCATTCATCCCCATATTCAGAAACAAAGAAAACACTTTATTATACAGATTTAATGATCTATTTAGAGGGATTCTGATATTTATAATAGAATGTTGATCTTACCACAGAAACACCTGTACTGGTTTGGGAATTTCTCTGTTGTGGTCTGACAAGCAGGGCACCTCCAGCCATTGTCTGACCCTGTAGAAGAAAGCACTCTATAAATGTAAAAGATTGTAATTATCATGAATTTTATTGAAAAAATGAATTTATAAATTTATTAATATGCATAAAACAAGTATGATTTCTCTTTGATATAGCCATATGTCAATGAATAATGTTTTTTAAAAAAACCATTAATGAGAAGGGAGTGTTAAATTTTGTAATAAAAGGTAATTATGCTTTACAAAATAAAGGATTATGCCAATATATTTTCTTTCATTTTATTCTTGACTTCAAGGGGACATATACTTCAAATCCTGACAAGGCTAGGCAGGGCTATTATTCCTGTATAAATGTTAACTTATTTTCTGTGTTATTTTTGCCCTTTCACACTTGCACACAATTTTGCCCCATTTTAATTTCGACCAGTCACATTTCTGTTGTAGAACTTATACTGTGCTCTTTGAATTCGCACCTTTTTTAAAATTCGCCCACCTGTGAGCAGGACCAAATGGGTGAAAATAAAACCGGGATGAAAATTTCCCTGTATACAGTATTCTTACCCTCCACCCTGGCGGTAGGGGACCTGGCCCAGGTTTTTATACAGCGGAGATGGAAGATGTGATAACATCCATTACAGCTCCACACTGCATTCTGTCCGCGGATTGTTTCACAGCACACCATACACTCGTAGGTCCCCATAGTCAGCTGTTCAATCAGCAGAGCTATGAAAAATAAGAGAATATTCATAAAAACCTAAAGAAAGGTACCTAGCATATTTTCAGCTAAACTCAATCAATCATGCATTCAATTAGAAAAATTTCTAGGAAGTTTGACAGTGACTGTCATTATTATTCAACATTTTGATAGGAGCTAAAAAGGAAAATTATGGTTAAATAAGAAGAAACTACCTCTTTGACTTTCATCCACTTTTCCTGACGACGTTCTGAAAACTCGTGGCTTTTTCTGACCCTTATAATATGGCTGCTGGCCTTGATTCCCTGTTGCTCTATAATTATTATAACTAGATGTGTTTTTCCTTTCCTTTTCATTAACACTTAAATTATCCTGAGATGTCCATTTCCCTGAGTCGTGATCACTATACTCGCTCACAGATTCAGAATCTTTACGACTCCTATCCTCTTCTATATCCCTAAATTTAGCCTCCGCATCACGCCGAGATATTAAACTATCCGACTTATTAGATATTTTGTTAGCAGTTTTTCTTTCACTAGCACTATTTTCTATTTTCCTTATTAGGATATCCACTTAGCAGATGCCCTATATTTATCATTGTCATAGCGATCATGTCTTTTATTACTGTCATATTGACTAGGGTAATCTGCCCTATATTTATCATCGTCATAGCGATCATGTCTTTTATTACTGTCATATTGACTAGGGTAGTCTCTGGGACTATTTCTTTGTTCCTGACGATTTTCCCTCTTTTTTTGACTTTGTTTATTTTCTCTGTTGTCATCTCTTGAATCATACTTATTCCCTCTATAATCAGAATTAGGTTTATTTTCTCTTGGACTATGCCTATAATCCCTATACTGGTTTTGACTTTTTTCAGATCTTTCCTGTGCACTTTTAGGCCTCTCTGCACCTTTATTGCCTTGCTGCCTTTTTCTTTCATTCTTTATACTAGATTTTGGATTATCGGCTTCTTTGCTACTGAATGCTGCAAAATTCTTTTCAAAAAAATCTTGATCAGACTTGTAACTTTTAATCTTCTTTTCTTTTACATCTGCTTTTTCTTCTTCTAAATTCTGATCTTTACTAGATTTTTCCTGGTATAATTTTTCATTCTCACTTTGTTTTTCATTTTCTTTATCTGCATTGTCTTTTACTTTTCCACTTTCTTCCTTGTTTTGTTTAAGAGGTTGATCTCTCTCTTTAACTGATCCATACTTTTCCGACCTTTGACCTCTCTCAAGCCTATGACCTTGAAGTTTCTCATGTCTCTGACCTCTTCTATATCCTTGCCCTCTTTCATATCCCTGACCATTCTCCCATTCATATCCAGAAGTCTGACCTTCCCTGTAGCCTTGACTAGGATTTCCTCTATAACCTTGATTGTGACCCCCTCTGTGACCTTGACCCCTAGCAGATTGAGGTCTATAGCCTCTAGCACTGTTCGGATTCTGATTTCTTCTGTCTTGCTTCATTTGGTTGTTGTGATAAGCATTGTTATTTCCTGACATTTGTCCTAGACCCTGAGGATTATTATCAGATTGAGACATTTGCCTTTGTATTCCTTGATCTCCATAATACTGTGTTTGAAAGTTGTTTAAATTTGGCACAAAAAACTGCCCTGGGGGAGGAGGAAACATAGCAGGGTTGTGAACTGGAGGGGGTGGAAAGTTCACTGGGTGAGGATATGGTATACTCTGAGGGTCAAACTCTCCATAGCTTTGTCCATAGTCAGAAGGATTACTATAGTAAGAAGCCATCTGAAAGCCCTGTTGAGGTCTGCCAATTATTTTTCCTGCAAGTGAAAAAAGATAAAACATTTTTCATTTATTTTATATATTCTTTTTGGAGAAGTTTGGTTATAACGAATCATAAGTTAGTATTATACTTTCTAATGATTATATTCAGTGCAATACTCATTATACATGTACTATCTCTTGTCATATAAATATGTTAAAAAATGGCTCAAACTTGTCTTCTCTCAATTTCTCAGAATGTGCTTACGTATTACATCCGAGGAAATTCGGAAATAAATACCTGAGCTGTCCGTTATGGTAAAAGACGCAACTTTCTATCAGTCTGTTGCAAATATCTGATTGCTTGTTGGGCAATCACAAGTGACTGTGAGAGTTCTGTCCCGATATAACGGTTATTTCATCACAATTTTTGACAAATCCAGTTTATCATGCGCTTGAATTTCTGTGTCTTCAGAGCGCTTACTGTAAATGGCGACTGTCACAGTGCGCTTGATTCGATCGTTTGAGCATCGAAACCTAAAACACGTGGTTTATCACGAAGTAGATTTATCACAGAGTGTAAGCAACTTCAAAGACTTCATAAAAAACGGTAATTTTCCCACTCTGTTTCGAATGCCAACTCCATATATTGGCATTTATGAGTTCCAGTACCAACCACCTTGAGTGAGTTTGTATGGTGTCCCATTAGGGTCATTTTCTTAAGTGTAACAGCGCGTTAGGAACAACGCTGTAGTGAAAAAGACAATGCGCTAATGCGTTGTTCACAACACACACGGCCGTTGAAATGACACACAATCTGCAATAATGCTAACTCAACTTTATTGTTGTGTATAAAGTTTATACACAACACATTAACACATAACACACCATCAGTCACTAGTCAACGCATCTTCACAAAACATGCCAGCATGATGTGTGTTAGCATGACGGCATGTTGTGTTAAGTTGTGTTGACTGCAATTATGTGTTACAAGAAAGTTTATTGTAAACATTGCTTTGCCATTTCACTTCGTGCCAACGCTTTGACATTTACAAACTGCAACGTACTTGAATGAAGCATTAGAAACAACGGACTGGTGCATTGTCACTTTGCGCTAGCATGTTGTCACTTTACACAAATGCTTTGTCATTTACATAAGTGCAACAATGTGTTAGAAATGAGCTGGCATGTTGTCACCTTGACCTAGTACGTGTGTTGTCACCTTTTAGCTAGCAGGTACTGAGCGCTTCATAACAACGCATTTTAACTATTGTTGTCATTGAGAACCTGGTTAACCATCGAACGATGTGAGTATTGATTATTATAACTGCTATTCAGAATTTACTTTTCATAGTAAATAAGTAAAAAAAAAAATAAATGTTAAATTATACTGTTCATAAATGAGTCTTAAACACATTTCCCTTAATTTTATGTACCGTTATAGTTGATCTAGTGTTTCATAAATAGGATGAAATTGATTTGATTAGTTTTCACAGTTTATGTAATCGATTAATTATATCTTTGATTGCCAGGGGGTAAACAAATTTTGGAGAAAGGAATTAATATAATTATCTCATTAAATAATTAAACGACATGCCGCCACAGACATACTCTGCTTCAGAGAACATGTATTTTAAAGGGACAGTTGATTTGAAATCTATAAAATATAATTCATCTGGTAGTTATCGTGTACGGGTTTGACTATAAATATCACCTATAAAGCTTAAAAAATAATTGGAACCCAGTGATTTACTGGACACTCCACAAATTACCCAGTGATCACGGGGTATGTAAATAATATACCGGTATACAAATACTAGTATGGAAACTTTTATGAAAACACATCCCATGTAACTGTGTACTCGATCGGAAGATTCAGCGAGTAACCAATTTCTAAAAATCGTCCAATTGGACAACACTTATTTTAACGAAAGTATTGTTGCACTTTTTCAAGTGATAACCTTTTGCAAAGTGACATTGCTTCATCTCATTGTGAACAATGCGCTAGTGTAATGATCACAGTGGATCTAAATGCCCATGAAATCGTCCAATCATATCATTTTATATTTAACCAATCGGCGCTTGATATTATAACCAATCAGAGTTTCAGAATCATCAACCAATCATTAAGAATTAGAAAGAGTATAAATACAGGCACCCATGAAGTATTTGGTTACTTGGTTGTTACAATGTATAAAAATCGTGCGAGTAACACCTCTGGTCTAGGTTCTGTGGTTAGTGTGTTGGGATAAACAGAATTGTTAGTTAAACCAGAAGGAATAACTCAAAAATACAATAATAAAGAAATGGAACAGCTGACTTAATATCTAAACCCTTGGCGATTCTATTGTCATTTATATATATATACATATACTTTTAATACAAAGGTGTCTCTGTGACTTTTTATTATTGGTGTGTTTTTTTAGGTAGTTGCATTTTGAAATCTGTGTATATGTAAACAACAGGATTGTTGGTTAAACCACTGATATTGTTGGTTACAACTACAGTGTTATAACTTCATATTTGATTATTTGCTTGATCGTTAGTGATTTAATTGTGGTTGATTCGTTTCTTATAATTCGTTGTCGTTAAGTTCATATTTGTTTGCTAATCAGTTATTGCTGATATGGACCTCCACCATAAATATATATACATAGTGAATTTAAGATCAGTTCTGGTACAGTTTTAGTGCCATTGTTGTTAAGGTTTGTTTAATTTGATATAAACGTGATTCTTAGGAAGGAATCCTAAGCGGACCCAATTATAATATAAATCATTTGTACTTTGTAAAAACGTTACACTAGCATGTCACTTCATGCTTGTCTGTTGTTTATATTGTGCTGTTACACTTTTGCAAATTGCCTTATTGGGGCACCATAAGATGGATAAATAACATTTTGCAATTTTCTTCACCTTAAATTATCATGTAACAACTTAGACAAGGACTTTGAATTTTTTTTTTCAAGAATATTCCTTTGGTATAAGATTTTTATCAATATATTGTGTAAATTTCAGAAAAAAAAAATTTAAGTTATTGCAGTTTATAATTTTACATTTGGTGACAAAGTTTTGCATAAATTCAATTGGATTATTACAATGTAATAAAAATCATGCATTGGTATCTGGAAAAGGTACATGCAATAATCAAAACTACTTTCTATTACAGACACACTGAAAATATCGCACAAGCCACATGGGTCAAAGGTCAGTTAAGATTTTGATGCGTGCTCTAAAATCTAAGCAATAAGTGTTGCATAAGGGCTGTCCCTAAGAATTGAAATAGCTGGAAACATTGGAAAAGTAGAATTGAGTTTTCGGTTCTTCCCCAAACAGCAAGTTGAGGGGGAATGCCAAAGAAAATGGGGGTGTTAGTATAATGTCATTATAGGATGGAAATTTCCTGGTCCCAAGGTCTTAGGGACATCCCTGTGCAACATACATGTCAAATGTAAAAGATGTTCAAATACGGTATGAAAATTAAGTTTCCGAACAGTTAGTAATTGTATTGAGCAGTGATGTGCAATTTTCAAAAATGGATGTACATAAATTTCAATGATGTGTCAGTCTTATGGTAATCTTTATTTGACTCGAGAGTAATGACCCAGTAATTAACTTGGTAATTCTTATTTGACTTCAGAGTAATGACCCAGTAATTAATTTGGAGAATGATGAGGGACTTATACTGAAAGACGACCAGACCCTGGCAGACAGTGGTGTAGGTAGGTAAGCCATTTCTCTAGCACAAATAAGCTGACCATCTATGGATTGTACACTGTACAGGATAACATGGTTATAGGGAACATGCTGTAATAAATTGATGCTTATAGCAAATTGATTTTCTTTCTCCTCGTCTTTATTATATAAACTTGATGGATATAATAAGTTAAGCTTAGAGTGTAGCAAACTTGTCCTTCCCTGGCTCTCTTATACATGTGTGTTTTACTGTTAATAGTACATAATGTAATAGATTATAAGTTTTTTTAATCGAGTTCATGAACATCATTTTTCACTTTACTGTTTTTCAAGGATCCAAAGCTGAGTTTTTTTTTCTTTGAAGCCATTTTTTGGAAAATAATAGATAAGTTTCATATAGCAATAGCAAGACTTTCAGGTATGGAGGTTTGAGCACATATATGGTATCATGTTGCTTTATAGTTAAAGAATATTTCTGAACATGATAATTGCTACAATAATACCTAATCAGTTATTATGATAATGATAGATTATTCTTTTTACATTCCAGAGGATGAGACAGAGATTTCTTTCTTCAAGCTGGAGGATTATGAAGTGTACAAGAAAAACCCACATCTGGCCTGGTGACCGTATGGTGTCACACATTGGATATTCTCTTTATTCATAAACCATGGACCATACTGTATCTGTGTACCAGTGTGAGAAACTCTCATCATAGTGAAAGAGATATCAATAATGATAGCTACAATACTCCTTCAGCTGGAAAATAGAAGTCTTGCATCCATACAAGAAAAAAAATGTTTTTTTCTTCAAGAGACCAAGTTATTAATGCCAATAAAGATTATATTTTTGCTTGCATTTTGTTAGTATGTGCAATAAATTAAAGAAATGCATGAATGGAGTTTCATTTTTGTTTTGGAAATCAGGTTTACTACTGAATTCCTATTGAGGTTATTGTGACAGAAGGCTCATAGGTTACAACAGTCACCTTGGCATTGTTTTTTCTTCTTCTCTAGCCCCTCTGATCATTATATTTGAACAGAATACACTAGCTGAGTATTCTTGCATTTAAGTGCCATATGATCATTTTGCAAGTCTCATTCTTGTAGGTCTTATACATGTAGTTACATGGGCATTGTTAAAGCCTACAATTTGGAGAGAACGGTCATAGGCATTTATGCCTGCTGTTAAATCCAATTCAATGAATAAAATATATTTTAAACTAAACTAAAGCCTGCTATTATAAGCACCACCCTCAGATTTACTTGACTGCGTTTGTTAAGTGTAGAGCATAAGCTCTGTTTAGCTACATGTAAAGTACAAGTGATTCATAACAATGTGCTTTAAAAAAAACATAGTACAGATTTGCAGTACATTTTGTTTTCTGATTCAGAAGTTTACTGGCAATACCATACTTAAGCATCCAGTTAATGCATTTTCATTTCCTATTACATGAAATAGCAAATTGCCAAGTCTGACATCTTTGCTAAGTATGCCATATTCTTGAATCACCTATAAATCACTTAACAGTTCTATTCTGATATGTTTTACAACATGTACTTTTATTTTTTCATTGAAAGAATTTAGACTGGACTGAGGACATCAGCCTGCATAGCTCAATGGTTAGAGCACCTGACTAGTAATGCAGGGGTCCAACCGTCCAAGGGTTCGATTCCTGGTCAAGCCATAAATAATAAATATTAATGAATTTTCAATTTTTACTCATTCCTCCTTTACATACTACATCAAAATCAAAATGCCTGAAGACAAAATATTTTCAAAATCTGAATTTTAATCACATTTTCGATACTGACTTCAGATACATGTATCATTTGAAATGAAAGACCTTGGATTCACTAACTGGCAGCAATATTTTTGCTTTCAACATTAAAATCATACATAACATCAATCCAATAACAGTCGTACAAGTAACCATCAACAGAAAAAAAAATCTAAGAACAGTCACTGTCATGTAAAGTCATCCACTTTTATACTTAGTGTGGCCTCTGGACGTTTTTTCTTTTCGCTAAAATCAAAGTCCCCCGTTTTTCGGTTCTTCTTTTCTTCTCTTCTGTAAAAAGAATAAAACACAGAAATTCAAACACAAAATGAACACAAAACTTCAATGTCTAATTACCTGGATTTAATTACTATATTTGGGAGTACTTAACTTGCATGCACAGCATAATACTAGCATCTGTGGTATGCTGTGCATGTACATGTATTACATTTAAATTAATAATATAATTTGTTTGTAAGAACTTAATTTCCTATTACACATGACAATCTTCTCACAAAAAAATTATTCTGGCATATATTTTTCTTGCATAGAGCAATAACCAAAATTTGTTGTTTGCTTATAAATACATGTACCACATAATAATTAGGTCACCTGAGTAACTCAGGTGACCTATTGCTATCCGTTTTCGTCCGTCGTCGTGCGTCGTGTGTCGTGCGTCGTGTGTCGTGTGTTAACATTTGAACATTTTCAGCTTCTTCTCTGAAATCACTGAACCAATTTCAACCAAATTTGGTATACAGTATCTATGGATGGAGGGGAACAAAAATTGTGAATTTCATGGTCCCCGCCCCCCTGGGGCCTGAGGGGTGGGGCCAAAACCACTAAAATTATTGCAATCTTTAAAAATCTTCTTCTTTACTTCTGGACATCAAGCAGGCAAACTGTTGGCATGAATGTAATGAGCATTGAGTCCTCTACCAAAATTGTGAAATTCATGGCCCAAGGGTCAGGGGTTCTAGTGCTAGGGCGGGGCTCAATAGATTATATAGTGAAAATGCATTATTTCTTTGAAAATCTTCTTCTCTGCTCCTGGGTATTAAATAAACTAACTTAGCACATGGTTATGATGAGCAAGAGTGCCTCTTCCAGATTTGTGAATTTTATGGCCCCAGGGTTAGGGGTTCTGGTGTAAGGGCGGGGCTCTATAGATTATATAGTGAAAATGCATTATTTCTTTGAAAATCTTCTTCTCTGCTTCTGGGTATTAAATAAACTAACTAAGCACATAGTTAAGGTGAACAAGAGTATCTCTTCCAGATTTGTGAATTTTATGGCCCCAGGGTCAGGGGTTCTGGTGTTAGGGTGGGGCTCTATAGATTATATAGTGAAAATGCATTATTTCTTTGAAAATCTTCTTCTCTGCTCCTGGGTATTAAATAAACTAACTTAGCACATGGTTATGATGAGCAAGAGTGCCTCTTCCAGGTTTGTGAATTTTATGGCCCCAGGGTTAGGGGTTCTGGTGTAAGGGCGGGGCTCTATAGATTATATAGTGAAAATGCATTATTTCTTTGAAAATCTTCTTCTCTGCTTCTGGGTATTAAATAAACTAACTAAGCACATAGTTAAGGTGAACAAGAGTATCTCTTCCAGATTTGTGAATTTTATGGCCCCAGGGTCAGGGGTTCTGGTGTTAGGGTGGGGCTCTATAGATTATATACTAGTGAAAATGCATTATTTCTTTGAAAATCTTCTTCTCTGCTCCTGGGTATTAAATAAACTAACTAAGCACAAAGTTATGATGAGCAAGAGTGCCTCTTTCAGATTTGTGAATTTTATGGCCCCAGGGTTAGGGGTTCTGGTGTTAGGGCGGGGCTCTATAGATTATATAGTGAAAATGTATTATTTCTTTGAAAATCTTCTTCTCTGCTCCTGGGTATTAAATAAACTAACTAAGCACATAGTTATGGTGAGCAAGTCTATCTCTTCCAGATTTGTGAATTTTATGGCCCAAGGGTCAGGGGTTCTGGTGTTAGGGTGGGGCTCTATAGATTATATAGTGAAAATGAATTATTTCTTTGAAAATCTTCTTCTCTGCTCCTGGATATTAAATAAACTAACTAAGCAAATAGTAATGATGAGCAAGAGTATCTCTTTCAGATTTGTGAATTTTATGGCCCCAGGGTCAGGGGTTCTGGTGTTAGGGCGGGGCTCTATAGATTATATAGTAAAAATGCATTATTTCTTTGAAAATCTTCTTCTCTGCTCCTGGGTATTAAATAAACCAACTAAGCACATAGTTATGATGAGCAAGAGTGCCTCTTCCAGATTTGTGAATTTTTTTGGCCCCAGGGTTAGGGTTTCTGGTGTTAGGGCGGGGCTCTATTGATTATATAGTAAAAATACATTTATTCTTTGAAAATTTTCTTCTCTGCTTCTGGGTATTAAATAAACTAACTAAGCACATAGTTATGATGAGCAACAGTGCCTCTTCCAAAATTGTGAATTTTTTTGCCCCAGGGTTAGGTGTTCTGGTGTTATGGCGGGGCTCTATTGATTATATAGTAAAAATACATTAATTCTTTGAAAATATTTTCCTTTGCTCCTGGGTTTTCCTTTGCTTCTGGGTTTTGTGCCAATGATCCAAGTATACATACATTTATGATGAAGAATGGTGTATCTAGCACAGTGGTTTTTTATGCCCCCAGAGTCAGAGGGAGGGGGGGGTTACATAGTCTGAAAATAAATGAATGCTTTGAAATCTGCTCTTTGGTATTAATCAACCATTTTATGACAACATTTTCAAAATTTTGAAATACTGGTATGTGGCCCATGGATCAGTGGTTCCTTTAGGGTGAGGTACACAACTGGGTATAAAATGGAAGTGCATTTTCTTTTTGTTACTCTGATCTACCTCTGGGTATTAAGTAAATAGAGTAAGCTAAGTTAATAATTATGATAAGCAATGGTGCCTCTTTCAAAATTGTAGATTGTGAATTGAATTTCATGGCCTCTGGTTTAAAACACAAACCAAATTTAATTGTTTGAAAGTTGTTACACAATACTCAGGTGACCTATAAGGCCCGTGGGCCTCTTGTTTTAGAAAATATGGTGTCCCGAATATTAAGTTATCTAGAGTTTTTTTGTATGCATATTTTTCTTCAGCACCAAGCAATAAAAGGTACCCACTCTTTCTTTTTGTCCTCAGCAATTCTCTGTAACTCCTCTTGTCCTCGTTCATCTTCCTCGGTACAAAAATTTTCAGGTTGGAGTGGGTCAAATTGTAAATTCTGTATCATAAAGGAAAACAAAGGCTATGTTTTCATACTCATATATTTGTATTGTTAGTAAATTTAAAAGGATTTTTTGGCTTCAGTGAAATTAAAGAATTGAAATTTGTACTTTTCTGATAAAAATACATGCTCAGATTAACTGTACACTATTCACTTATATAAGACGTCTAAATAAACATTTCACTCTCAATTTAATATAATAATTTTGAAGTTATTCTAAGTTACATGTAAGCTCAGATCTATCCTACTGAATCTGCAACATTATACAGTATATAGAAGCTTACCTTCACCCCTAAAACATCCCCATCTTGGATGTAATAAGGGGGCTGCCTTAAGTTAGATTTTTGTGGAGTCTTTTTCCTCCCTCCTTTCCCAGGAGATTTCTAAAAAAAAAAAACAGGTAAAACTTTTTAAAACCCATCAAATCTTCTTGGTGGATCTGTGAACTTACAGACCAGTCCAGATGCCCATTTTACAAAAGAACTTCTGATAAAGACCAAAAACTTAACTTGTTTGTAAAAATTTTGCAAAATTATTCAATCTGTTTAAAATTTGCTAGCATAAAAAAATATCTTTCTACTTTACTTATGAAAAGATTAAAAATGTTATTTAATATGTAAATTAGAAAGTTATAAGCAGAATTAATTTTTGATGCTTAAAATAGCAGTTCATTTTGCATTGAGTTTTCAATTCATTGAAAAGACAAAGATTTTTAAGAGTCACCTTCTGATTTTCCTTGATGATGAGCCATTCATGCTTCTTAGGAAAATGTTTCGCCACTAAAATGTGCTCCACAGGAATAAGGAGCAGGTCAGCTATTGTCTGCTTAAGGCTGTGTGCTGTGGCCCCCTGGGATACATTCCACACCACTTCCTGTCCGGCAGCGTAGGTTTTCGTCTCTGGAATTCTCTGTCGAATTTCTAAAACAATGTGATTGGCACTGGAAATAGATGTACACATATTATCATTGAGGTTTTTGTCTCCAGAATTCTCTGTCGAATTTCTAAAACAATGTGGTTGGCACTGGAAATAGATGTACACATATTATCATTGAATAATTTTCTCCAGAATCTGTCTATTTAGGTGAATACAATACAGAGTAAAACATGCTTATAACAAAGTGCCAAGGATGGACAATTTTTCCTCATTATAAGCGTAATTCGTTATATCTGTCTTGCTAACAATATATAGTAAAGTCATTGGGAATTAAAATCACTTTGCTGTAAGCGTCAATTTATTATAAACAAGTTCCTTATAACTGTGTTTTACTGAATACATTTATAAGATTGCATAATGGAATCTTCATTATAGGACATCAATAATATTAACACATATTATATCTCTGACACAATGTCTTACCTTAGGTCTTCTTCTTGAGGCAGCACCTGAACACCTAACTTCCTACAGGACTGTAATCGCAGTTTTCTACAAGGCATAGATTTAATATTCTAAAATCCCAAGCTAAGCTTCACAAATATGACCTTCCCTTAAATTTAAAAAGAGTTCATTTGTAAAATTTGGGACAGTCCTATGTAAAATGTGGGACAGTCCTTTGTGAAATGTGGGACAGTCCAATGTGAGATATGGGACAGTTTGATGTGAAAAATGGGACAGTCCTATGTGAAATGAGGTACAGTCCTATATAAAATGAGGTATAGTCCTATGTGAAATGTGGACAGTCCTTTGTGAAATGTGGGACAGTCCTATGTGAAATGTGGCCAAGTTCTTTGTGAAATGTGGGACAGTCCTATGTGAAACTTGAGACAGTCCTATGTGAAATGAGGTACAGTCTTATACGAAACTAGTGCTAATTGTAACGGGAACCGTTACAGATGTTCCCCAAACGCTCCCCAACTCCCTTTCGGTGCCATATTCCCTGTAAGCTTCATAAAATAAGACAAACTCTGTGCATTTTTGACTTTAACAATGTTTTCCCAGAAGGATACCAATTATATTCAATTTTTAGCATTGCACCCAAGCGCATGTGAATGCATGTGCGTTATGACCATATCATCTTGTCTACACTATTTACATATTTTAATATACTATATATTAAAGCATTCAGTCCAAAAGTATTTAAAATCACTCATTCAAGAGTATTTTTAAATACACTCGTTTCAAATGCACGCACGTGCGTGCACGTGCATGATGATCATACCTTCTTGTAGGAGTCCCTTACATCTATCTATGTTCTAAATCCCATCCTCTTTGGTTGAAAAACAAGGGAGTTGTAGCCATTTAAAGTTTCAGCCAATCAGATTGCAGCACACGTGCATGCGCGTAATTTCATGATTTTTTTTAATATCGTTTTGTAGGATATCCTAATGCATGACTATATTTTAAATTTCAAAGAATTTCGTCTTAAAACAAAGGAGAAATAGCCATTTAAAGTTTCAGCCAATCAGATTGCAGCACACGTGCATGCGCGTGATTTCATGATTTTTTTTCTATATCATTTTGTAGGATATCCTAATGCATGACTATATTTTAAATTTCAAAGAATTTCATCCAAAAACAAAGGAGATATTGCCATTTAAAGTTTGAGCCAATCAGCTTGCAGCACGTGCACATGCGCATGCTTTCATGAAAATTCTTATATATCATGCAGTAGATCTTCATAATGTAGGACTATGTTCAAAATTTCAAAGGATTATGACAAGAAACAAGAAAGTTATTGAGATTTTAGTTTCAGCCAATCAGAGCAAAGCGCACGTGCATGCGCGTGAGATCTTGCTATTTTGACCATGCTATCTTGTCTATACTACTAATGTATCCTTATATTATGAGTTTCAAAAAATTTCATCAAAAAATAGAAAAGTTACGGCAATATCCATTATATTGGTAATTTCACCTGTTGCACATGCGCGCTCTTGCAAGCACGTGCGCGCAAAATGACCTTTGTTTGGCAACTCTACATAACATGCCTACTGACCCTAAAAAGGTTTCACCTAAGTCGGACGTGTAGTTTACAAGATCACTCGTGGACAAAATTTTCCCAGGAAGAAGAAAAATAATAGGAATAATAACTAGATACGATCTCGTTGCGAGCAACGAGTGGGTCTTCCGTTCGATTCTTGATGAGATGAGATTAGATTTTGATTGAGATTTTCATTCTAAAATAATGATTTTTTTTCATAATCTGTAAAAAGACATCGAACAATAAAGACTTCTAAAATCGACTTTTGGCACCTCACGGCCCTTAAAATTAAGGATCAGCCCTTCTTTCTTCATATCATTTTAAAACTCTCAGGATAATGAACACTTTTTGTTCAACAACTATTCAGAGATTCATTTTTGTTTTCGAGTTATTCGCAAAAGAAATATTTAGGGGCCAACCCTTCAACTCCCTACTGGGGACGTTTAGCGAAAAATGAAAGGTTGCATATTGTTCAGAACATGATTTTGAACATCTTTTTTTCAATATTACTTGTCTAAATATTTCTCACTTTCAAGATATAAAGCGTCAAAGATTTAGCATTCTGGCCCCTTGTGGCCCCTAATTATATAAGATACGACATTAAAATCATAATATACAGTTGTAGATTGTTGAGTTAAACATTTTAGCTTCAGTAATGTATAACAAAATATTGACTGTAAAAGAGTTATCGAAAAAAGACTTTAAGCCCCTTTTGGCCCCTAATTTGAGTGCCCAGCCCCTTTTTCTGGATTTCATCTTGGAGCTCTTAGGATTTTGAACACTTTTTGTTCAACAACTATTCAGAGATTCTTTTTCGTTTTCGAGTTATTCGGAAAAGAAATATTTAGGGACCAGCCCTTTAACTCCCTAATGGGGACGTTTAACGAAAAATGAAAGGTTGCATATTGTCCAGAACATGATTTTGAACATCTTTTGCTCAATATCACTTGTCAAAGTATTTCTCACTTTTGAGATATAAAGCGTCAAAGATTTAGCATTCTGGCCCCTTTTGGCCCCTAATCATGTATTTTACGACATTAAAATTATAATATATAGTTGTAAAATGTTGAGTTAAACATTTTTGCTTCAGTAATGTATAACAAAATATTGACAGTTAAAGAGTTATCGGAAAAAGACTTTAAGCCATTTTTGGCCCCTAATTTGAGTGCCCAGCCCCTTTTTCTTGATTTCATCTTGGAGCTCTTAGGATTTTGAACACTTTTTGTTCAATAACTATTCAGAGATTCTTTTTCGTTTTCGAGTTATTTGCAAAAGAAATATTTAGGGGCCAACCCTTCAACTCCCTAATGGGGACTTTTAGCGAAAAATGAAAGGTTGCATATTATTCAGAACATGATTTTGAACATCTTTTGTTCAATATTACTTGTCAAAATATTTCCCACTTTCGAGATATAAAGCGTAATTGATTTAGCATTCTGGCCCCTTTTGGCCCCTAATCATGTATTATACAACATTAAAATTATAATATATTCTTGTTAAATGTTGAGATAAACATTTTTGCCTCAGTAATGTATAACAAAATATTGACTGTTAAAGAGTTATCGAAAAAAAAATTTGTAGCCCTTTTGGCCCCTAATGTGATGAGTCAGCACTTTTTTCTTGATATCATTTTGAAGATCTTGTCATTCTGCACAAATATTGCGCAGTATGTTTTAACAAAATAATTACACTTTTAAAGATATGATGCAAAATGTCTTAAAAATCAGTCATGAATCGTGTCCTAAATTTTGACCCCTATCGAGCTTCCATACTAGGCACTTCCGGGAAATATCCTGACCCAGGTGCAACATGGCAACATGTCCTCTATCATCCCTGAAAATTTCAGCTTTCTAGCTTGAGTCGTTTTTGAGTTCCATCACAGACAAGGAGGTCCTCTAAATTTGGATCAAAGGGCGATAACTTCCGACCGGAAGTGAATTTCAAAAAAACGAAGAAAACGTATAAGGTTTAGATAAAGATACATCTTCTCTGAAAATTTCAAGTAAATCGATCGAGCCATCTCTGAGAAATCTTCTGCACAAAAATTGTAAGAAGAAAAGGCAAGAATAATAATAAAAGTGAAAAAGAAACAATAGAATAATAGAAGGGTCTTCCGCTGAAGACGGAAGACCCTAATAATAATAAGAAACAGAGTAAAAACAATATGTTCCCCAACTTCGTTTGGGGAACATAATAAGGTACAGTCCTATGTGAAATCTTGGACAGTCCTTTGTAAAATATGGAACAGTCCTATGTGAAATTTAGGACTGTACACCTCAGATGGCCCGCTGCACATAATGTCTCTCATTAACTGCCAAAAGCAGTCTTCAGAGGGTTTTGCACCACATGTGCAATATGCAAGCAAATCATCACAGGTCTGATTAAAATATTTGATGCTATTTTTAAACTTGATGAGCAACATTTCACTTTTAATCTCTATAGATATTTACAAGTACATAGTGCAATCAGGAAGATATATTCTGAATTTTAAAGCACATTTAAAATGCTTTGCAAGACAAAAGTATTACAATCATTCAATTGTTAAACTGAATTATAAAGTTAACATCCTCAAACAGCATAGCATTAAAGAAAGAAACATTTATCTTAATTAATAGTTTAAAAAAATCAATAATTCAACATTAATTTAACATGCCACTTTACTAATTTTTTTTTTTTACCTCAATGTTTGAGATGACCCCTTAAGCACCGTAGTTAGCAGTCCATCTTCTACGACCCTGATCCTTAAAAACTCCACCATAGGCACCCCAAGTTCAGCAATAGTTGGCAAGGTCATGACCTGCTGCTTAAGGTCATCCAATGTAGAGTCCAAGGACACCTGTACCTCCCCTATATGGAGAGCTCCTTTTTCTTTATCAGGAGTAACTTCCCCTGTGGAAGTATTCCAAAGATCTGTGTGGTGAAAAAACAATAAAGGATTGAAGTGAAATCTAACATCCATTGTATACATGCAGATATAAAATAAGGACTTTTCTTTGATGAATAAGAAACTTCAGATGGCCCACTGCACATATTGTCTCTCACTAACTGCCTCAGAGCAGCTAAATCAGAGAGCATGCACCACATGTGCAATATTGCAAGCAAATCATCATTAGTTTTAAACATCTTTAAAATTCCACATCATACTTTGTTCAATCACCTTTTAACATTTCCACTGAAGTCATTTTACATGTACTAACTTTTAATGTTCTCAGTTTTATGGATTTATACTTTACATATTCTTATGGAGAGCCAATACAACTGTGAAGATGTGCTTACTCTGAATTCCTGTGGACAGCCATGAGAGAAATCCACCCTTGCTGCTCTGTTGTACAGTGTGTAACATTGGATACAGCCAGATCTCTGGACAGATAAACCCCTAATAAAAATGATCAGTCTTAAATCAGTTCTACTTTAAATTCCCCAAGGAAAGATTGTACCTAAACCCTGAAAAGTATAAGCTTGAGGATATCTTTCTGTCATATCAACTTACCCCGTCCATCAAATAAATCTCTCGTTGCTATTTTTTGAAAGAATTTGATACGGATTTTTGTATTTTTTTTGTCATTGGAAACTGTTCCCATACTCCATCTGATATATCAAGACATCTTTGGTTGAAAAATTCTCAGATGAGACATAAATCATATTATCAATTCATAATTTGTTGACATGAAAAACTAGTCTTATTTTTTGGCTTTAACTATGACCTTTGAACAATTAAACTGGTCCTCCTACCTTTGGTGGTAACCTCCCCTTCTCCAGGATCAACAAATCACCATCTCTCACCAGACTGTGTTCTAATGTTGACTCCGGGTCGTTCAGTATGTCTGCTGCCTCCCCACACCAATTTGTTTTACGCAGGTGCCAGCTCTGGTCTGAAGGAAAATATGACATACATTTAGAAGCATTCATCTATTTTAGGTAACTTGCATTACAGTACATTCCTATTTAATGTGAGTAGAACTTGATATCTAGAAATGATATGCAGATATCAAATAGTCAGAATATGAATTCACAAGGGAAGACTTTTGTTTTTCAGCTTTAATTTTTTTTCGCAATTTCATTTTGTTAGTGTTGGTTCACAAAAATAAACAGCAACAAATTCCTCGTGTATACTTTAGAATTTACAATACTGGAACAAGTTTTCTCCACTCTCATGCTTTGTTCATCATTATTCACATTAAAGTTGTGAAGTAAAATAATGTCACAGTGCGAATAAACTCAAAATCAAACAAAATATTACCTTCCACCTTCAGTCTGTTTAACACACAGGTCAAACAATCTTCTACGGTCTGATTTCTGTTGACCAACATTTCTACCGTGTCTGTCAGTCCTAGCTCCGAGCCATCGGTTGTGATGTTGATAGTTATCTACGGACAAAATTAAAGCAGGCATTATTACATACAAATCTGATAAATCTGAGCCATAGGTTGTAATGTTGATACTGTAAATCTGGAAATTTTTGCTGTAGATAAATTTTTAGCATATTTGCGAGGTCATTGCATTCGGAAAAAAATTTTTCTTAAAAATAAATCACCAATAAGAAAATGTAAACAAAGCAGTGGTCATTCGCAAAATTTTGAAATGTAAAAATATAATCGACAGCATTTTGACCCGAATTTGCAAAATAAAATCAACGTAAAAATTTCCAGATTTACAGAAGTTATCTAAGATGTGAACAAAATTAAAATTAAAGTTTATGAAAACAAAATTACACAAAAATCTGATAAAACAGAAAGAAAAAATATTATAGCATTGTGAAGTTTTTACATGGGTCATAATGCCTCAAAACCACAATTCCATTTAATTTTAAACACTAAGCTGGCTTTTTTGATAGCCATTGAATGTCTTAAATACACTTAAAGCATGCTATATATACATTTTATTTACTGCGGAAAAAAATATGATGTGTACATAACATAAATAAATCTCTCACAGAAAAAAGTACAGTTTTTCAAAGAGCTAAAGTCTACTGGTTGTAACAAAGATGGGAGTGTCCACAGGCCTTCATAGCTCACCTGGTTAGACTTTGGGGCCTGCCCCGGTTCTAGGACAAGTTTGGAGTCTTTACTTATTCCTGCTTCTGACAAAGTTAACTCTTCACATACTGCAAAAGAATTTATAAACAATTAATTTGTATTTAAATTATTAATGAACACTTAACTAGGTCATGATAGAAAAGATGATTCAAGTTCATAATTTATCAGTCTTCACAACAAATTTACCATCTACTTTGAAAATCACTTATTTTTGTGGGATAAATTTTTCCTGGTTTGAGGAATTTGAATTTTGCAGTTGAAGGAATGTTAAGAGTTGTTCTTCATATGGATTTTTTATTTTACATTTCATGGAGGACATAACTCTCAGGATTGATTGATTGATTGTTTACTGTTTAACGTCCCTCTCCAGAATATTTCACTGATATGGAGACGTCACCATTGCCAGTGAAGGGCTGCAAATTTAGGCCTATGCTAGGCACTTACAGCCTTTGAGCAGGGAGGGATCTTTATCTACCACACCTGCTGTGACACGGGGCCTCGGTTTATACGGTCTCATCCGAAGGACCGCCCCATTTAGTCGCCTTTTACGACAAGCAAGGGGGTACTGAGGACCTATTCTAACCCGGATCCCCACGGGGATAACTCTGAGGAAACAAAACGAAAATTAACAGTTACTACACTTTCTTTATAATCAAGTTTTGTCAAAAGATAAAGAAAAGGATGAAAAGTGAATACACGAAAAAGTCAGATCAAATGACAATAAATCTATAGACAGAGATTTTTACATGGTGATTTGAGTCCAAGGGTCTCATGTTCTACACGCAGTCTACCCCCATCTTGAATCTCATGGAGCATGAACTTTGACACAGCCAATGCTTTCAGAAGGGAGACAGACTATAAATAGAACAGAATCAGGAAAAATAAAAGTTAAGTCTGAAATCAAGAGTATAAATACTTGTACATATACATGTAGTAACAAAAAATATGAATTGGATTAAATATTGATCAAAGCAGTATATGCTTCAGGTGGAAAAAGAAATTTTTGCTTCATGCTTTTATTATACCAAAGGCACAAATATCTTAAAACTATTATAACTTGGACATTTTAATTACATTTGTGGGCAAAGCTTCTATTGTAGAGTTACAATATGTATATAAGATATAGAAATTTACATCTGTAGGCTATGCCTTTACAGTAGATACAGATATAGATATTATAAAGAAATTTACATCTGTGGGCAGTGCTTGCAATTGAATACTTTCTCTGGGCCCATCTCCTCCCTATGATAAAGCAGAGTAAAATATGATTATAGTGAACATGCTAAAATAAGTCATTCATGTTTAGGCTGGATAAAATTGAAATTACAGTTGTCAGATCCCATCCATTTTGATTAAAAATCCTTGATTAAAGCATTTTAATTTCATATGTATTCTGAGTTTTCATGATCTATATATGAATATATAAAAAATTGCCTGTAGTATGTCCTACAAATGAAAACTGACAATTTTTTCCCATCTCATCAACAAAATTACAGGCTGATCAGTCAAAACTTATACTAACCTGGCACCTATTTTCTACGCTAACTGAAAATTTGACATTGACAGGTATATTTGTTGGACGGGCAATTCTGAAAATGGAAGAGGAGCCCTTTATAAACAATACATTGAGTATTTAAAAAATTCATAAAAAGAATAATTGAAGACTAGCTGACAGTAAAACTAAATGATAATCTTACTGTTCTGATTCCTGGATAAGAAACAATTCTGATCCATTGGTTAACTTGAGTTCAGCGATGGATTTGGACATTTCCTCGGATGTAAATGCTAGCAACTTTTGTTCTCCTGAAATTATAAATTTTATTAATGCCATTACTCATAATACCCCTGGTACATGTTTTAACTTCTTCATATGTATTTCATTTTTAATATCTGTTTTAGTCAATGCCATTACATGTACATGAAAATTCATGAAACATTGAATTGTACTCTGATGGTAGGAAACAAAACCCTCAAATCTCTAGAGTACGATTCCAGTACACATGGTAGAATCACATTAGCCAATGAAATACTGGCATATATATACATGTATTTCCTCCTCAAGGATGAGATACAGGTGCCTATGGAGCAATTTGCTACTATGCTACCAAAAAGATATTATCATTGAGTACCAGAATATTTTCAGGAAAGCTCTTCTGGAAGTACCGTATACTGTACACCAACTTTTATTCGCATGCAAGAAATTTTCGCGAAGTTCGCAAGGGCCTCGTCATCGTGAATATTTCTCGCCGTGAACCAGTCCTTCAAGTCTCTGTGTCTTTTAACAACAGATTAAAAAAAGGTTTGATCGCGAAAATTTATCGTCGAACTAGTTTTACCCCAGTAAATCGCAAAATAAAGTCGTCGCGAATAAAAGTTGGTTTACAGTAATTGAAATTTTTAGCAAGGATTTAATTTTGGCATTATTAGCAAGGGTGCTGACATTGCTAAAATTGAATATCGCTAAAAAATAATTGCGTATTATTTGTAATAGCTTCATTAGTGAGCATTTTAAAATCGCTAAAATTACTTCTTGCTAGAAATAAAATACTATATTTTAAGGACAAATCACTAAATTTGCGTCTTGCTAAAATTTCCACTTATACGATATTTCACATGCAGCATTACTTCTTCCAAATGTTTCAATTTGAAAAGCGAGTTAAATCAAGAAGGGCTCTTTTACCCATGGAGCCTGAGGCAATATTTTTGATTTCGCCACCAACCTTTTATTTTATTTTAAATCTTTGATCCTTTCACATATAGAATTTGCGTACTCACCTTTCCCAACTAATCTCTGCATGGTGACAGAACTCGGGTAAAATAGATATTCAGCACAGGCTATGTCCAATACATCAGTCAGTAGCATATTCTTGGGAAACCCCCTGGAGAGGGAATCCCCCTCAGGTGGAGTTATATTTAGCAGGATGGGTTCAGTTTCTTCACCTACAGCCACAGTTACTCCATCAACCTGCACAGTAAAACGTTACCTAGGTACATCGTTTATTTCCTGATTTACATGTAAGATGAATGGTTTATAAGAGAGTGAAATAAAAAAATTTCAAGACTTAATTTTTCTTACTGGTTATAATTCAATCATGAAAAATAAGTATGTATTCAAAAAAAAAAAAATAATAAAATAAGGAAAATGTCATAAGAGGATAGCATAAATATAGCATTCCACGTCTGTAACTTGATTATCTTACTGTCCGCCCATCCCAGACAAACAGTGAGGCTTCATCCCCCACTCCCAGGCTTTGAATGGTCACATCGTCTGAACCTGAAAATTAACAATGACATATACGTAAAATACAGATTCCAGGATCATATTTCCTGTGTACAAAGTATCTGAGAGATAAATAAAGATTTTATTCAAATGATGAATTAGTCAAATGGGTGCCACTTTACCTGTAAGTTTAGAGTAGAGATGGTATCCAGAGGGTAGCTCTTTCATTGTGTGAATCACAAAGTTCTCTGGCACCAACTCTCCTCCTATCTAAAACATGCCATTAATGATAATATACTGATAGTACCTTGAATGACATCCAGTCAAACCTCTTTATCTTGAACTAAAAAGGACAAAAAACTCAAGATATATCCTGGATAAAATACCTTAAGAATTGGAATTAAAACTTCCATACCCATGGTATTAGAGATATAAGTGTTTAGATTCCAAAGTCATTTAAAAATCTTTGGAAAATTCAACATTTTGAAAAAACTAATAATAAAGCTAAACCTTTCTTACTGAAATACACATGTATTACAAAGGTTTTTAGTTGAAATTTTGGCAAAAAAAAAATCTGAAAATCCACTACAATATTGTTATAAATGACTCCCCCACCACATAAACTTTCTGGACACCACCTATCAATATTGAATCCATTACCTGCCCCTATTTACCTCCATAACTGCTATCAGGAGATCTGCCAGACTCTGTCGACGATCTAGTTCCAGGGGGAGGTAGTTAGACTGGGGGTCTTGTGGTTGGAGGGCCCCATTACTCTCCATGAACCAGGCCGAGAAGTGGAGACGGAGATTTATCTTGTTCAGTTCAATCTCATAGGCCTCCCTGTGGAAAACAAGGAAAACAAATAAGCACTCATTTTTCCCAATTTTCATTACTTTCATTCTGCTGTTGACTTAAGTATGCATATGGAATTCTTGTATGGAGTTGTTTTTTTCTTAACTAGCCTCATGATATTACTGCAGCAGCACATGAGTTATCATAATGATTGTTAATTTTAGCTACCATTGTTGCTCATTTTTATCTTTGTGAGAATTTTTTTTTATTTCCATTTCATTTCATTCGATTTCCATTTCCATTTTTTTCCATTTCATTGTTTTTAAAATAAAGAATTGAAGTTATTTTGTAACAGGTAAGTTCAAGTGTGTTTTTTCTCATCAACACAGAAAATAAAATCTACATAGAAAAAAGCTTCATATAGTATCACAGCTTCAAATTTTAAAATAAATTCTTTGACAAACACTTTAATTTGATGTTTGAAAAATCCAAGACAAATATTTCCATTCAGATTAAAATCAAATCATGACAAACACAAATTCATGTTAAGCTTTCAATAGATTTGTATTATCTTTGATCAGCCCATTCCCCCTCCCCTCCCAATGTTACCTTTGTTTCTGTAGATCCTCATTTTCTTTTGTTACTTCCATAACTAAAGAAGCTGGTACAGCACTCATTGATGAAGCTGTAATGATTTTGAAAATTACAATAACATACAGATCAACATTAATATGCTGTAATGTATAATATCCAGCATGTCGAGTATATGGCAGAAATTAATTTATAATACAAGTTAGTTTAGACTTGCCTTAGCACACTTCTTCATATTCTGATTTGCGTGTAAAGGTTCAAGACATTAAACATTGTAATAGAATTAGCTGAAAATGCATTCTTCCAAAGGTGCTAAAAAGAATACACAGCCAAATATTATACAAAAGGAAAATCCACCAGCATATACATTGTGCCTTTCTATTTCAATTACCCTAGTAATAGTTAACAGAACATCTAGTAGTTAATATAAAATAACTAATGACAAGATCTCACCATTACATGACTGGTCAACGATTCGTCTGTAGAACAACATATAGGCGCTGGACTTTCCCGAGAACGTGCTCTGGAGTTCTTGTTCTCGGACGGGATGGACGTGGCTGTCATTGAAGTGGAACCAGCAGTACCCCGGGGCAGGGGGAGGGGATGGGGGCCTGGACAAAACAAAGGACATATAGCTGGCTAAGGTACACATGGAAAAATTGAAAAAAAGAAAAAAAAAAGAGTTTCTCCTTTACACAAATTTGATGAGCAACTCATGCTTTCCTGACTTCACAGGCACATGACGTTACTTATTTTTCTTTTAATAAAAAAATATACAATTTAATAATAAAAAAGAACCCTGAAAACCGCCATCTTTTTTCCTGAAGTAGGTCATCAAATTATGTGTCCATTTCAGTGACAAAAAAAAAATAAATTCCCTGCAACCATATATACCTGTAGATTTTTTGGGGTTGTCTCCTTACGGTGCAGCAGGAAGGCGCATTACACTTGCAAATATTGAAAATCACCTCGGGGAAACTCGACCTACTGCTTCAACTAATGGAATTTGAAATCGGATCAAAGAAGAACTTATCATCAATATGCTAATGAATTCCGTATTTTTCAGTTTTGTGGTGAACTTCACTCACAAGCGGGGTGTCATAATTTTTGAAATTTTAATGAATATTTCAATAGAAATGAAAAAAATGCAAAATGGGAAAAATAAAACACTTCTTATAAAAATACCTGTAAAGTATACTATATTAATCTAACAGGTCGTTGACAAATGTGAAACAATTTTGATAAAAGAGAGGTGGCCACTTTGAAAAAATCAATAACAAATCATCTAGAGTTAATTGAATCGTTTTCTGAAAACAATAGACTGCAAACCATCCAGTTATATATAAGTATATATATACATGACATATGCTTAATTGAAAAAGGAGAAGGATCACAAAAAAAGGATATTAATGAAATCATATAAGCCTGCGACATGTATATTATAATCTGTCAATAAGAAAAAAATAAAAATGTCGCCATGTCACTACTTTATTGCAATACATAAAATTGCAGATCTCAACATTCCCTGGGATAATTTTAGTGTGAACCCCCCCCCCCCTCACACACGTGCGTACATACTTATAAAGTCAATCTTCTGCACGGATATGCTGCTTCTTCAGGGCATCAATAATGACAGTGTTATTAATTATATTTAGTGCATGTAAGTAGGGTCTTACAACCAACTCAATTTGTACAACCAAAATGTTCATTGATCAGCTAGCATGATCAAAAAAATACAAAATGTAATCGTTTTATTAATCAAGATATATCGAAATTATTTTGAGAGAAATAAGAAATTTTACATGTATATTACGTTGTATTATTGTCTGAAATATTGTTTTTGGAATAAGTACTAACTTTCCACGGTTAAAAAATAAATCGCACAAATATATTGACCAATAAAAAAAGGGCTTTCCCTAATTTTCAAGTCGTGTGTACCACCTGCCCCCTTTTTGCGATTTCTTAATTGTTTGAAGCAGTAGGTCTTTCCTATTTTCAATATTTGCAAGTGTAATGCGCCTTCCTGGCTGCAGTGTCCGTAAGTTTAACCTTAAAGACTGGCTACAGAAAGAAAATGGTTGCAGGGATTTAATTCTGACGGAGTTTATATACATACAATTGATGACCTACTTCAAAAATCAAATATACAGGGTATTTGTTTATTATTCATATGTGTATATTTTTTTTATTAAAAGAAAAATAAGTAACGTCAGGTGCCTGTGCCTGACTTAACCTATTGAGTGTTTTTTGATTTTTTTTTTTTTTTTTTTGGAAGAGATTAAATTTATTTATCCAAAAAAGAACCCTGAAAACACATACTTTTTCACTGCCTGCAATGAAACAAAAGTTATACAAATTATGTGTCCATTTCAGTGACAAAAAAAAGAAGTACATGTACATCTAAATATATACCTGGATTTTTTGGGGTTGTCTCCTTCTGTGTTGGCAGTGTTGGGTCTATCTGTCTCCTTCTTTTGTGATGATATCACACTGGAGGACGTATATTGCTTCAGGCTAATGGAATTTGAGGACGGATCAAAGAAGAACTTATCATCATACTTCATAATGAACTGAAAAAAAAATATTTCAAGAACTTCACTCACAATGCCGGATATTTTTGTATACATGTACAAGTCAAACAAAGAAATAAACTTAATATCATTACAAGGAACAATCTAACAAAAAGTCCATCTACCAATTCAAATAATCTGAACAAATACGTCAGACAAATGTGAAGCTCTGTTTATAGAAGTCTTGGTGGCCACTTTGAATTGTGCATCCTTGATAAATTACCTTTGTAATTGAGCCATACTGTTTTCTGAATCTCTTATTCCACGAAACTCCAGTTTTCTTTGTTATTTCCTAAATTCAAGCACAGTTAAAAGATAAAAAAAAAAGAATTTAATATTAATCATCAAACTGCAAAATACATATTTCCAACATGAATAGCAAAAAATAAATCTTACCGCTCCCAGCTTGTCGACACTGAGACACTTGTCAGGAGCTTGGCTCAGTATGGTCTGCACAAGCTCAATAGGTGAGTCACACTCAATCACATCGAGCTGTCCCGACTCCGGGCTCCCAAGGACAGAAATGCTGCCTTCTTCTGGGGCCGTCCACACCCCGAGATTGTCCACGTCCCGTAAGTAGGCTGTGTAATGTCCCCCATGGGCCCCTCCTTTATGTACAACCACAGAGAATAACTCGTACAAATCTCTACCTTCTGACTGCAAAAAAATGAATATTCTATGTTTAATTATCAAGACAGACTCAGTACACCTGTATCTAATTATTCAAAAAGAAATTTTACATTCACCTTTGTTCACAATAGTCTAAGACTTTATAATGATGTACTAATTAGACCACACTGATAAAAAAAAATCATTATAAAAACTTACATGAAAAACTTCACAAGAAGATCAATATTTGTTAATTTTAAGGTGTGTACCACCTGCCAGGTTTTTACTTAATTTATTTGAGACAAAACTTTCCTAGATAAAACTAAGGGTCATTATTTTGCTTGTACTTGCACAATTAAAAGAAAAATTTGTCTATTAAATTCTAATACTTGTACATGTATACATGTAATTTTGCATGCAACGAATATACAGTATTTGTATGCTATCATAAATTACCTTTTCTTCATAAGGAGACATATCTAGTTGTGTTGGGAAGACAAATTTTCCGGTCTCCTACAAAATAATTTACCATTATTACAGAATTATACAGTAATTTGACATATCATTCAACATGTTCTTTGCCATTAAATTATTCTTTTTTCCTATAATGTTTCTTGGATGCATATATTCATAGAATCACACATTCATTTTATTTAAGAATATTTAATTAACTTAAAATTGTTCTATAATTTTACAGAAGACAGAGGAAGACTATATTTTTACCTTGAATCTGTCCATTTTGATGAGATCAAAACTAAACCTCAGCAGGGAGAAGGTCAGAATCTGTGGCAGTGAGCGGAGCTTGGCTCCCTTTGTACAGAAAAAGAGTGGAATTTTTCAAAAAGCATTATTAAGACATAATTCAACAATTCCCTCCAAATGCTGAGAATCTATTAAAGCCACAATAGGTCACAGTCACAAAAATGTTTATTTTGTAGTAAATTTGAATTTACAATGCATTGGAGAAAACTCTATCATTTTAAAACAAGAAATTACAGAAATGTACAGGGAAATTTTTGCCCTATTTTATTCCCCCCCCCTTTCGCCTAACCTTGATTGGGCAAATTTAAAATGGGGTGAATTAAAAAAATACAGTATATTTTCTTAAAGAAAACTGTGATTGGGCGAATTTAAGATGGGGCAAAATTGTTTGCAAGTGTAAAAGGGCAAATAAAGCGGGGAAAAAATAACCCTGTATACAGTAATCTTCTTGTACTATACAATTTTATTTCTATGAAGCAGGACAGATTAATTGGAGCCATGAAGATACTCCATGTAATCTAGTTACCATCTCAACTTCGATCATTATCATAAATTATGTAAATAGATATCTTGTAATTTAAAAATGGTTTAAAGTAACAAAAAAAGTTTACTTTGATAAACACCAGTGCATACCTTTTTGGCATCCACCAGTTTATTACAATTTTCACATCGGTACTGATTCTTCCCCTCCATAGTTTCAGTTTCACAATAATAACTCCGTAACCCTGCCTCTAAGGACTCGGTACCACTCACAGAAATACTCAGGTCCAGAAAATCCTCCTGTTTAAACACATTTCACGATTCACCCAATCAATCTTACAATAAACTACAAACAAACTCAACAATATAATAGGGGCAGCTCAATCTATGTAATTACCCAGCATTAAATGTTCATTGATTTTATGAAAACAATCTGAGAAATAAAATTTTTTCTTAATTCTTAACTCTAAAAATAGCAATGTAGATACATCTCTCATAAACAAATATACTTTCAATTTTTCTAAGGATTAATTTGTGAATAATATTTTGTAAAATTCATTCAATTTTAAATTTTAGCTATCTGGTTCAGTTTAAAGCAGGTAAACCTTACAAGAAAGATGGTCAAGAATAAGTATACCAGTAAGTAAAAAGAAATTTTTTACCTCTCTTTCACTTATTTTCCCACATACTGAACAAACAATCTGAAAAATGAAGGATTGTGTTGTTATAAATTCCTTCTTTCAATCTATAAAATATACTGGTACACTATAGCTTGATACAGCTGTTTTATGAGGACAGATTTTACCTGGACTATAGCTCCAGATACCTGTTTGATGAGGTGACAATAAAAGTAAATTAATGATAGCTCCAACAGCTGTTTGAAAAGGTGACATATTTTAACTTGTTACTGTATGTACCTGATTGACTATAGCTCCGTGATACAGCTGTTTTATGAGGTGACAGATTTTACCTGATTGACTATAGCTCCGTGATACAGCTGTTTTATGAGGTGACAGATTTTACCTGATTGACTATAGCTCCATGATACAGCTGTTTTATGAGGTGACAGATTTTACCTGATTGACTATAGCTCCATGATACAGCTGTTTTATGAGGTGACAGATTTAACCTGTATGTACCTAATTGACTATAGCTCCATGATACAGCTGTTTTATGAGGTGACAGATTTTACCTGATTGACTATAGCTCTGTGATACAGCTGTTTTATGAGGTGACAGATTTTACCTGATTGACTATAGCTCCGTGATACAGCTGTTTTATGAGGTGACAGATTTTACCTGATTGACTATAGCTCCGTGATACAGCTGTTTTATGAGGTGACAGATTTTACCTGATTGACTATAGCTCCATGATACAGCTGTTTTATGAGGTGACAGAATTTACCTGATTGACTATAGCTCAGTGATACAGCTGTTTTACGAGGTGACAGATTTTACCTGACTGACTATAGCTCTGTGATACAGCTGTTTTAGGAAATGACAGATTTTACCTGATAAATAGACTATAATTTAAACATGTTATACAGCTGTTTTATGATAAATTTTACCTGATTGATATATTGATAATATAACATGTATAAACAAAAGAGAATGGGCAAATAATAAGAAATCACCTGATTTACTATAGCTCCGTGATACAGCTGTTTTAAGGTATTTTGACCTGACTGACTATAGCTCCATGATATCAGCTGTTTTATGAGTTGACAGATACTGTAAATGTATTACATTTAGCTCCGTGATACAGCTGTTTTATGAGATTCAATTTTCCTGAAGTATAGCTCCGTTTTGATACGCGCTTGATGAATGTGCTAGTTATAAATGTATGTACCAAGACATTTACTATAGCTCCGTGATACAGTTGTTTTATGAAAAATGCTGACAATAGAATTTTCCGCTAAATGTAATATAGCTGACATTCAAAAGAATATTTTACAAAAGGCAAAATCACAAATAAAAAAAACTATAGCTCCAGATACATCTGTTTTATGAGGTCTGATCAACATTTAACCTTAAAAAAAATATTGACTATGATAAAACAGCTGTTTTCTGAGGTTCAATTTTAATGATTACTATTTCTTTACAGCTGTTTTGGTCAAGAAATAGCTATCAGTCATTTCATTAGTGGACACACTGTTGGTTATATTACCTCATTATTTGTCCAACCAAAACTATCGGTCAGTTCTGTAGTGGACACACTCTGTTTTAGGAAGTGACAGAATAACTTCTGTTGACTATAGCTCCATGATACAGCTGCTTGATGAGTCAACAAAGCATTAATCATTAAACTCCTTATAGTTAATAAGATAAACAGATAAAAAAGATAAGCATTTCAAAGGAATATGAAAGATAATTAACAAGTAACCTGTTCCATACACTAACTTGTAAATTTTACAAGCTTTCATGATGCACTTCTTTCATGATTTTAACTTTTTAAAGAATTCACTTAAGCATATTGAGGCTATGACAGCCTTCCTGTTTAAATTCCTTTAGCAGTTTGATGAAATTGTTGATGTTGTTCATTACAAACTGATTGATTAGAACTAAATAGAAAATGATATTAAGTCTTCTAATGTTCTATCAATACTTGAGGGCTTTAACTCAGTACAAGCATCCAAGGAACTTGAAGTGGTTTAAATTGAAATCTTTTTCCAAATGCAAACTGTTTTTTGAAATTTACCTTTACACCTGCACTTCTATTGGCAAGACTACCCAACTCATTTTCACCAAGGCTAAACAATGCATCTGAAATTATAGTTTGATCTCACACAAACTAGAATAAAGAGCTTTTATTGTAAGCTTCCAATCAAGTATAATAAGTAAAGTCCATAAATTTTTTTTCTCATTGTATACATTGCATAACTTTTTGTTTTTGTAACAACTCCTGTGGCTACATTTATATATAATTTATTATATGTTGAATGCAATATAACAAGCAAACAAGCCCTGAAAATATTAATAACAGATTATAAGTATTTAGAAAACAAATATATTGCGCTTATAATACATAAATATAGATATGATTTACTTTATAATAATAGATCATAAAAATATTACATGTTATACCATGTTATACTGAATTTTCCCATATATTTCATGTAAAAAGAAAAGTAAGAGTTATGCCCCTTACTCCGGGTCATGAAAATGAGAAAATAAATTGAATCAGAACTATTACAGTAGAATGAATAGTTCACATATCTATATGATGAATAATATATGCACACACAATTACATGATTTAAAATAATTTATACCATTGTTTCTATGTAAAACTTTGGCCACCCATAAATAATGGGTCTTGATATACTCTCCTATTAAACAATAATTACACTCTATATACACTGCTGCATTACTGATGCTTTATTCCATATAAAGAATTTGATAATTAAGCTTGTCATAATGAAAAGTTTTTAACTCATTTATCTATATAATTACATTAAAAATCAAAGACGATGAATTATCGGGAAAATATAGGGGTAGATTTGATACAAACTTAGAATCTACACTACCTGAGGATGTTACCCCAGGTTTCATCTTTATCACAGTGTACTGATGTAAATATTTTTATAAATATGCCACCAAATTTTCATAATTCCCAACTCTCTCCCCTTGAATGGTCTATCCCTTCATTCAACAAACTTGAATCCCCTTCACCCAAGGATGCTTTGTGGCAAGTTTGGATATTAGAACTGGCCAATAATATTAAATACCCTCGATAATGTAAAGACTTTAGAACATAAGCAAAATTAAAAACCAAGTAGTGTTGTAATATTTTATTGCGGTGCACGTGATCAAAAAGCTCACTTGAGCCTTCGGCGTTGCGCGATTCTAAAAATAAAATATAATACGCATATGAAAATAACTAACATAATTAAAAAATTCACATAATAAAATAAAGAAAATATCATCTATCACATAACTAGTGTTAAATTATTTATGTAAAGGGCATGGTAATCAAGGAATCAATAAGGGCACTTTGTTATGCAAAAAGAACAATCTTTAAACTTTTGAAATAAAATGTATTAAAATGTCTTTATAAAGATTATATTAATCATTAATTTTTACATACTTTAACATTTTTAATTACCTTAGACCTTGCCTCTAATATCCTTTCAAACTGAAATCTTTATTTAAACAAGTAATTTAAAGATAAATTCATATATCTGTAAAATTTCATTAATTTTTTTAAAAATATCAACACAATTAGCACACCTGGGCTGACATGACATATTATTTAAAAAAAAAGGATGATAAAAAAGGCACATTTTCTCATCCATTTCTTTAATCAATTGGTCAAAAATAGCTATCAGTTACATTTCTTGACACACTGTTGGTATAATCTAGCTGAAACATTTGTCCAAAAATTATTAAAGTTTGGAGGTACACACTCTGTCTGTCTGACATCAGAAGCCGAGCGAATAACTTCTGTAGATGTAGAGGTATCACCCGTACCTGTCAACAAAGCAATTATTAAAGCAATGTAGTTAATAAGATAAACAGATAAAAAAAATTAAGCATTTCAAAGAAACATGAATCAGGGACCAACAGGATAAATTTTAAAACTGGTCTTCTCCCTCAATATATTTTGTTAGAAGTTTTGAAAAAACTCTGGCGCGCAATTAGCTTGACCCTCATTATAAATCTTTAAAATTTTAAAAGGGAACTATTTCATTGTTAAAAACTTAAATACATTGCAATATATTTTTTTGGTGCATCCTGTAAAAATAATATAAAGATAAAATATCCGATTTTTTCCCCAATTCAACAAGTGTTTTATTCTACAAAAAAAAAAAAAAACGAAAGAAAGATTTTAATTAGTAAATAATTTACAAAAGTTACAAAACAATGACTTTTTTTCATTTCTTGCATAATATGCACAGCTAACTTTTAAATTCTATCTTTTCTTTTTAAATTTTTAGGCTCATTGCATAGTCATAATTTTGTTACTTTCTCTTCAAAATTTGATTAATTTTTTTTCTGAAAAAAAAGTTTTGATGTACTACATACTGCATGCTGATTGAACTCGGTATATCAGACATGTAATTTCTTAAACGGACAATAACTCCACAAATTAACAGTAAAATATGTCTGTATTCACAGCATGAATTAATTATTTGGCAATAAAAAGATCTCTTCAACATCTTTGGCATGACATCGATAGCTGACCAGCTGTTTTGTGTCTGGTTGTGCATAACTTGTAGCAATTGGACTTTTTCATACCCTGTAAAATCTATCACAGTTAAAATATCACAATGCATTGGTCATTAGCAGCGAAACAGGTGCAAGTGCCCATGCTGTATACACATACATTTCAGCAGTAATAAAACAAGATTTATCAACTACTGAATTAAACAAATTTTAAGAGATTTTTAATGATTTTTAATAAAGGGGTTTGCAAATGTTAAGGCAACTTAAAAGCTATGCTTTCAAGATAAAATACAATGCGAAGTTTGGAAAATAAATAAATAAAAGTCATTGTATATTGGACAGCTTGATAAAGGAAGAGATAATGAACAAATTAAATGTAATTACACATGAATTACTATATAGTCTTGCAATATTTTGATGATGCAATTACTCCCTTCATGATATATGACATATCTTTGAAAAGTACCAGCATCACTGTTCAAAAATTCTTTTGAGTTTTGATTAATTTGTTGATGGTGTTCATTACACACTGATTCATTAGAACTAAACAGAAATTATATTTACAGTCAATAATGAAAATTTTTAATTTGGGGGTATAAAAATCATAGGAACTTGATGTGAAAATAAATTAAAATTGTTTTCCACATGCAAACTGTTTTTGAAATTTACCTTTACACCTGGACTTCTTTTGGCAAGACTACCCAACTCATTTTCACCAAGGCTAAACAATGCATCTGAAAATATAGTTTGAGTTCACACAATTACTCAGTAATGAAGAATTGTGTATTGGACAACTTGAATCCTTGATATAGGAAGAATAGAAAGGCCATATTTCTCACCATATTAAGTAAATCACCATTTTACTATTTTGGCTTGTGTTATATATTTATGATAAGATTGAAATTACTTATTTCTTTTTATGTGTCAGAACATGATCAAAATGAAATCAGTACCAGCATCACTCTGTGTTTGCTAAAAACTTTAGAAAAGAAGTATGAATGTTCCTAAGACAAGTACCTCTGAACTCGGTTGTAAAAAATAGTGTCTGTAACAGAGAATTTAGGTAACACGTGGCGCCTTGGTTGCTGATGCCACACAATCCACATTTTGCTCGTTTTGATGGTGGCTGAGGCAATCCGGGTTTTGACTGATGAAGTGCCGACTCGAACTGTTCCCCCTCTTCTGCGAAGAGTCCTTCAAGACCCAACATATCCTCTCTCTGTTTTACCTCTCACAACTGGTGGCATCTGTTTTAGCCTCACAATCTTAACTTAATTTATCTAAAATGCAATCTTTGATAACTCAGAAACTTGTGAAAACCAGAAAGGGAAACAAACCTGCATGGGTTTCATAACTTCCGGTAATGGAAATGATAAAATTTGAGTAAAAAGGGTACTTTAATCCGGAAAGATGTAAGTTGCCATAAAATTTTAGTAAGTCATGCACACTTACAGAGAATCAGAAAGTGGTACATTTAGTTCAAACTGCAGATGTCAGACTCGGAAAAAAATTTCAAAGAAATATTTTATTTATTTTACATTTTTAAAAGGGGGGATTGCAATTTAAAAGTGTGTAGAAATTTAGATTTTTGAACTAAAATATACGAAATCATTTTGAGTTTTGAAATTGAGACATTTTACCAAATGTATTAAAATTCTTAAACTCTATTTAATCAGTTTAGAAAGTTGAATTGTAATTAAAGTGTTACACGGACTCACCCAACAGTGAATGAGAAAAAGAAATAATAAGTCAACTTTTTTTTCCTCGATGAAAGATAATGTAAATAATTTGCAGATCCGTAAGGCTTAATTGTTTCAGTTCAAGGACACAAACATAACCAAAACAGATTTTTTTTTCACACACACATGTATAGACACAAAAGGGGGAGGGGCGACACATTTTTGAAGGACGACAGCCTAAATCACTTGGCTTTGAATAAATCACAGTTTTTTATGCATCAAATTTCAATTTCTGATATTTTTTTAAGTAGGGAATTATACTATAGGTACTTTTGCTTTTTTTTTCGAAAGCCCCCTCCACATCCCACCCCCACTGTGGCTTTCGAGCGGCGGTTTTCTTTAATTGTGAATGAATGTAAGACCTTTCTTTGGGTACCAAGGTGTTAGACCTCTTAATTTGAGATCGATTGACCTATGCGTTTTCCCATTGCACTTTTCATGCTTTTGTAATTAAGATTTTTTTTTTTATCAAACGTTTACTTTTGTCATACATGTAAAGTTCAATAGGACAGTTGATGCTATGACTTTCAAACTTCACATGTGTATATATTCAATGAGACCTTTCTATGAGTTATATGGAAGGGAATTACCGCCAAAAGTCTATGTATCTTTTTTTTTTTTTTTTGCTTGTCAACTTTTTATGCTTTGTTATTAAAAAATTATATGTCACTTTAAAAACTTTTCATATTCGTCTTTATATTTCACTTTTACTTTTATCCTTCTTCATTTCGTCTTTACTTCATTTTCTTTGACGACTATATTTTTAAGTCATTTTATTTTCTTTTAAATTGATACAGTATCTTAAATTTTTTCTCTATTACGAACGTTAACTCAATCACGCAAAAAAATGAAGCATAAATTTCAATGAAAGCAAAAAAAAAAAAACCTAAACTGCCGCATTGTAACGTCAAAAACCTATTTCGTAAAATTAGGGGGGCCGGGGTTATGGTGACTTTTATTGCCTCAAATTTTTCCTTAATACTTTATCACCCATTTTTCACACATGATGTTTGTCATTAGTTCAGGTATGTACCCGATACATGCCATTCCCTCGGGGGGTCCATGGTAACTTTTATCTTGTTTTAGTATATACATTTTTTAACCTTCGGTAAATTCCAGTGGGGGGGGGGGGTCCTGACCCCCCCGACCCACCTCTAGATCCGCGCATGATATTTCATGATTTCCAATTAGCATTAATAAATTCATTAAGCTATCAAAACTGAACTTTCAATTTATATTCGAATTTATTATACGAACGTTTTTTTTTGAACAGCCCGTAGCATTTTTTCCAAAGTAATCGAAGAGTCGGGGCAGGCAGAGAAAAATTTTTGTTTTACCGAAAAAGTTGACAAGCGAAAAAAAATGAAGGTAAAAGTTGAGCTGTGGCTTTCGAAAATCCGGTTTTCTGTGTGTGTGTGAATGAATGTAAGACCTTTTCATGCAATTTTTGCCTCCAATTTCGATTTCCAGCGATAAATCGCCCCTGTTGAAGAAAAGCTATGATGTCCTATAATGACTTCATGTATGAATAAATATTTAAATAATATCATTTTAAAAGTGGTTTATAATTAAATCATTTTAACCAAAAAAATTCAAACCTTCAGAGAACATATATTATACATCAGTATAATAAAACGCTTATCACTGTGGTTACGGCGTTTGCTCTAGAGTCACAAAGTACAGATGTAAGGAGTCGATCAATACGTCGTGGGCAAGCCCTCTGTAGGACGTGGAGTTCAATCCATCGGTTGATCTAGACCTTGTTATTCGAGGTCCTGTGTCGCAGTAGGTACTGGCACGAAAATTGATGCAATGGCATCAAGTGCCGTATACAAAAAGCATTCCAAAAAAATCATTTACAATTTTAAAAATTCCATTCAAGGAAAGCATTATACAATGCACAATCAAAGGTGAAATAGTCTTAATATATATTTATTTCAGATTGTCTACAAAGCAAAATAAATAATTAAAACAAGTTGCTGTCCCTTAAAAAAGGACTGCAATACGTGGACCATATGCATGTTTTTACTAGGTGGAAAAGTTCATGTAAGTTTGTATCCCTTACTTTTTCTACAATGATCAATTTATATATTAAAAGTCACTGATTGTATTGTGAAATTTTATCTGAAAAAAAGTTAGCGACCTTTACCACCACCAAACAGTTTTGTCAGTTTAAAAAATTTTTTTGCTTCCTGGCTGATAACAAATACTGACTTGGACTTGACATTTCTGTTCTGGATTTAAAATTAAGAAATTTAAATATTAAAAAATAAGACCAGGGAGTTTCTGATGGTTTATGCAGAAGCACAGCTATGTACCATGCGCGGATTTTTTTGTCTGGGGTGTTAGGACCCCCCCCCCACACACACACAGGTTTAAAAGGTGTATACTAAAGCAAAGAAAAAAAGTTAAACGCTCCTTACGATATTTTGTTTGGGAGACACTTAATTTTTTTGCTCGTCTTTCTGATGCACAAAACGTTTGCCGGCGAAACTTCCTCCCCCTCTTTAAAAAAAAATTGGATCTCCTACCCATAATGACGTTTTTCATTCCTTTGTTAAGTTACATGAATCTATATACATGAGCAGTTATAACTTCTTGAAATGCTTGTACCATGGAATCAAAAACAACCCAATTATATAAAAGTATATGTAAAAGATTGAAATTTTTATACCAATTAAACTGGAATTCAATTATCAACAAATAATTAACTTTAATAGAATATTTAAATGCGATATGAAGAATTAAAGGCGCGTTTTTGCCAAGTGAATGGTATATTTTAATTCGAATAGGGCGAATTAACTTGACAAGCGCAAAAAAAAAAAACCCAGGAAATTGCCAAACTTCTAAATGCATCCTCGCGCATGCGTAGCCTGTGGTTTGCCCAGGGCATCCGGTTTAACCTCGCTTATATATTTACCGTGGACCTCATAGTCCACGCAATACAGACGTTCCTGCAAATAAATAGACATTTTACCACATTTGCCATGGACAGATTCATATAGGTTTAAAAAAGTGGTGATGTATGAAAAAAAATTGTCATCAAAATGAAGATACATGTAGGCCTCTCCCCCCCCCCACGTTGAATATTTGAGTTAGAAAAATAATTTCCTTTGCTTCAGCAGTGTTTTTTATGCTTGTCAGGTTTCTATTTTTGCAAATGTTAAAAAATTCTTTGTGTCACTTTCATTTTGCTAGATGCATAAATCCTATATTCAAAACAATTTTTACTTGTTTCAATTTCCCCAAAAAATTTAATTTTTTTCCTACTTTTACTACATTAACTTTTATTCTTACAAAAAGTGGGTCAATTAACATATTCAGTATAGTATAAAGTTTTACCATGTCATGTGTGCCCAGAGAAATCAATATGGAGTTCCATTATTGGATATTATTATACACTCCTTCAGAAGTTCGATTGATAATTAAAGTACTAAGGCGTATTGAAGAATCTATAACCACAAATGATCAATTATCTGATGAGAAATGATAATGAAATTGAAATATAATAAAAACAATTAATACTAAGTTTAAAGCAAGTTTTTGAAATATTTTATTCATTGAATAATTTATTTAAGAAACTGTTATCATTTAAAAGAAATATTTTACAAGAATAAAGCATAATAAAAAATAAGAATGATAAAAGTTCGAAGTGAAATGTAACAAAGACGAATATGAAAACAATAAAGTGACATATAATTAAAATAATAACAAAGCATAAAGAAGTAGGCAGAATAAGGATAAAAGGAAGATACATAGACTTTTGGCGGTAATTCCCTTCCATAGAGTTAATAGTTGTTTTTTTAACAATCACATATTGACCCTCTTTGGAAAAAAGAAACTTGGTATGACTTTTGATCATTTAGTTCAAGGGCCTTCATATTTCACAGGTTTAGATAAGTATTTTCCTTCGAAAACAAAAAAGAAATTGACCTTGGAACTCGACCTTCCTTTGAAAAAACTAATAACCTTAACTTGAGAATAGTTGGTCGTTGGGCTTTAATATTTCACATGCAGGTTTATTTCTTATGACAAGGTCCTCTCCTGGGTACCATTGATTTGAACCTTTGGCCTTGACCTTGAAGTTTGACCAATATATTTTATAAACTTTAACCTCTGAATGGTCAGCATGGTCAGTGTTTGGACTTTCACATTAATCGAGACAAGTACTTTCTTTCATTAACAACATTTTTCTTCCTTGACCTTAGAGTTTGATTCATTTGAGGAACCCACCCACCCCCACCATGCCCACCTTCCAAAAACATATCCTTTGATCCGCGCCTGAAATGTTTTACTTTTTTGGTACTTTTTAGAAGATTGTACTTTCAGGCATGAAAAAATAGTTTACTGTGATAATAATTTATGTATCGATTTATCATGTTCGACTGAATTTTATTTATCACTTTCCTGGATCCACCCCGTGTAAGATCTATTTTAAGTTTGTTTACACTGCATGGTTCTAAAATTAGACAACTTAAAATAAACACCAATCACCTTCCGCGTTTCATCGGGCTTCTTTTATGAACCAATCAACTGTCGTTTCACAACCGGGTTTATCGTTTAAAGAACGTCATGGCATTGTGAATTTTGAGGATCAAAGTTCTCAAGGTATCGGACGTAACTTACTGTAGGGCATATGGGCTACTATGCCTTTCATGAAGATAAAATTTTTGGGACGCGAAAAATTGATATCAGAGTTTGATGAGATTTCTTTTGTACACGTGGTGTTGTGAAATGGCGTTGAATCGGTCGGTCGGGTTGTGAAATCGCATAAATATAAATTTGATATTTTAAAACTCGGGTATTTAGTTGAATATGTGAAAATTGACTGTGTGAAGTTCTGAAGTTATTTATTTACGGGCATTCTTGTATCGTTCATGCATGTTGACATCATAGTGTGGTAATTCGAATTTCCTCCAATCATCACACATTTCAATAATAGGAAGGATTGTTAATTATTTCGATCTATTTTGATTGAATTGTGTTGAATGATAACATCTTGAAGGTAGAATTGTGAAACATAACCAAGGACGTACTGAGGAATAACAAGACAGGATGTCAAAGTCACACAATGAGATTACATACAAACTTGTCGTGGTGGGTGATGGAGGGGTGGGGAAGTCAGCCCTGACCATCCAGTTTTTCCAGAAACTTTTCGTGGAGGATTACGATCCAACCATTGAAGACTCCTATATTCAGCACACAAATATCGACGGCAAACCCTGTGTTCTTGATGGTAGAAATTTATTTTTGTAGTCTTACGATACACAAATTTGATATTTAATGAGATTTAGCTCACTTTTGAATTTAAAATGTTGGTTGTGTGTCAACTTGTGACACATTGTGTTAATGATATCTTTCTATAATCACATGCATGATTGTACATGTAGACATCCAAAAGAAATAATTCCTGTAATTATTAGTATTACACGTGTATGTTTTATTATAGATAAGTGTAATTTTTCAGTACTAGGTTTCTTAAAATAGAAAGGAGTTGAGGTATCCCATGATTAAGAAAGGGGAAGGGGCTTCCATATTTGATTTCCTCTATGAAAGTTATCTGATTGAGTGTTTCTGTTTAAGAAAAAAGTCGAATCATCACGGAAATATAAAGAAATCAAAAGACCATTGATCAAAGAACACTCAAGTACAAAAGGCTATACATGTATATATAATTCAATTATAATTTAACTCGATTCTGAACAAATTAGAGTAAATCTTGCTTGACAGCTAAGTATCTACACAATAGTAAATACCCCTCTATCCCCAGATGACAGGGAATAGATTGTCAGGTACTTGCTATGCAGGCCTGTGGTTTAAATGTTGTTGACTTTAACTGTTTACCTTTATATCCTTTAAAACCTTGTGCCTGATGGCACTATTTTATGTACAGTTAAATCCTGGTTATATGACACAGTGGTATTTTGTTATTTTCAGGACTCTTTATCCTCTTCTTCCTTGTTAAAATTCGTAAATTGAAAAAAAAATTGCTTGTCTTTACTCAGTAACATAGTACATGTACATCATTTGGAATCAAGAAATTTACAATTGCCCTGCTATTAAAGTCTGAGATCAAATTACATTCCTATTGACCTATATTTGTAGTCTGTAATAATATTACAAAAGTACTCTACCAAATTGCATACATTTTAGCACACATTTCATAATTGTCATCATGCAGGGCTGTATATTAAATAGAGGTATGGTAAACTGATGACTAATTTGAATATATGTAATATAGTCTACCAGTACATGTATATCTATACCTGAAACACTACAGCACCACAGGTATTACAACCTTATAATATAAAACTTAATTTCTTCCATTTGTGACATTTATATATTCATGGAAAAATGTAAATTTTATTTGTTCATATTTCACTACCTATCATGGATTCAATATTTTTCTGAGGCATTTTTTTATTGGTTCATCTTGAATCTACACTTTTTATTACTTTCAGTGCTTATATTGACCTCTACACTTTTGTATTACTTTCAGTGCTAGACACGGCGGGACAGGAGGAGTTCAGTGCGATGAGGGAGCAGTATATGAGGAAAGGGGACGGATTCCTGTTAGTCTACTCCGTTACTGACGCTCACAGCTTTCACAACATCCAGAATTTCCACACACAGATTCTACGGGTCAAGGACAGGTAATGTCAAAGTTCAAGGTCAAATGAACGCTTTTAGATTATAAATGTACTCAAACTCAAAAAGATTTATTGCTGTAGCTTAACAGACAAGTTAAAACAGAACATATTACAGTTTTGATTAAATATGAACTAGGGATGATAATTAAAAAAATAAATTCATTTACACAAGAAATGCAATGACCTTGCTCACTGTCCAACTTCATTTTGTTGTTTTAATAAGGAATACATGCACATGTATATAAATTTACTGAATATTTAATGCATGCTTTATCATGTTTATACTGATTATTTAGAAAGTATGTATAACATGCATAAGCTATAATGAGATCAACACACGAAATATTATATGTATCATAAGTGAAGGTTGTGTACTACAGCTGGTGAACGTACATATATGTAATTATGCCATAATGGCTAAAATAGTTCTAATCGAAGTAATGGTCAGTCTGATTCTGAGTCTCTGAAAGATAATCATGATAATAGGTGGAAGATTATAGTACCAGGGTAATCAGAGTGTTTGAAAAGGTTTCAGAACAGATAAATTAAGAGACATATCTGTCAGAAGCAATTTAACTAAAATATAATCAAAAATTGTTCTTCACTGAATGATTTTTGTCTGGAACAATTCTAATTTCATTTGCTTGGAAGTTATGGGTATACTGGCAGATTTTGAAAGCCTGAGTATTTTGATAATTTTGTGGACAGATGTGTAAAATCAACTTATTTTCTCCAAGGATTTGCAGCCATTATAGAGTTACTAAATGGGTTGTCAACATTTTTAATTATCTGTATCTAGGAATGGTCACTTTCAACTTAAATGTTCAGAAATTATCTTTGACAGATTTTTTTTTTTTTTTTATGATCAAAATCATCTGTTCTGAAGAGAAAAACCATTACTTAAGAATGGAGGAAGCACTTCTCAGTTCATTTCTTTTGTATAAAACCATTTCCTGCTTGTGTATCTGTTCCGTAAATTAAAAGTTGAAGAAAAGAGGGGTGAAAAAGTCTTGTCACTGAATTAAGTGGCAGAGAATCTAAGAGTTTTAAAGGAAACCAGTTTCTAAAAGTTAGAGGGTCAAATTTAAGTATTTCCTGTGTTTTGTGAGGAGAGAATGAGTGGCATTGAATTATTTTCAAAGATCTTTTGACATTTAATGATAGCAATTTTCTGCCTGTATGATTTAAGTTTTTATAAAGAGGAATATTTAATGCATTAACACATTAATCTGAATATTTTCAATAAGATTTTTTTTTTTTAAATCAAAAACTTTTTATATGTTTTTATGACAGCTTTTACTGCCTGCATGATTATGCTAATAAATGATCAATGCACATTTGCACATATACCACATAAATTAAATTTTTTGAAAACAGAATTTCATTTCAATAGGTGTCTCACAAGGTTACAAACATTTTAACTTTCAATTGGTTAGAACTATACGTGTCCCAGTAAAACAAACATTTTTACAGCTTTCCTTCGTTGACCTGGGGGTCATCTTATCTTGATGGCATAGGAGTAATAAATACATTACAGCATTTTTTGCCAGTCATTTTATCCTTGTTTGTCATTAGATTTATTAATAAGCCTTATTTTTACCCCAGATGGTGAGGAGATAAACGTGGCACTAAAATGTCACGGGAATTTTTTTCTCAAAAAAATGAGCCTCTTCCTTTTTTGCCTAAAAAGTTGTGTAAAAAGAAAACGAAGAAGTAGGTTGTTACATATTATTAGCATATTACATGGCAGATTTATTTTTTAAATTACATCATTCACTTGGGGTTGAGAGAGGATGGCTTGAACATGTATATACCAAGCATTTGTTTCATGTATAAGAACTCTCATGAAATATTTTCCACTCTATGTGTTTCTATATTCTTATATTTGTTTTCTTTGATAACAAAGCTTTAGAATACCAACAGAATTATGTATATCTATATTATGAACAGTTAATACTTAGCTTTTGTACCTGGTATAGTTTTAGGGTAAATTTAGGTATGTGATTGCAAAAAGCAGTTTATAGCATGCTTAAGATAAAAACATTGTATTTAACATACCCCGCTAATTAAGCCACACAATATACTATCTGCATACAACAAAATGGTTGATATGATAAGGTATCAATTTTATAAACTAGCTAGTCAGCAGTTTTAAAGAAGATACATGTAGAACCACACGTGTATTACTAGTATTTTATACAAGGGGGTCTTACTTGTACAGTCAATGTGTTTTAATCAGATTAGCATGCTTAGGGCATGTTATCCCAACAGGTTATGTATAGAAAATGACCTTGTAAAAGTTAAAAAAAAATAATCTTAAAGCCAAAAGAAGCTAAAGGCCTTCCTGTGCTTTTATGTTCTTTATATATAAGTTAAAAAAAAAGGAACACCATGAAGCGGATCATTAATTACCTTGCAAACTGCAAAGAGCATATCTTTATATCAAGGCAGCCTATGACATCAGTTATGATGCAATTTACATCCTTTAAGTTTCATACAACGACAAACTAACACACACACAAAATCCCCCCATCCAAACAGAGAAAAAAGCATTACTTTATTCCCTCCATTTGTGATGAATAAATATATGTTCATTTCCATGATGAACATTAATTCAAAAATGAAATGAATATATAAAAATTTATAAAAACATTATATTAAGCAAAAAGTTTTAAAAAAAAATTAAGAAAGGGCTTAGATTATATTTTACTTTTGAAAATTGCTATGTGTGTGTGGGTGTGAGTCTGCCAGGGCAAATTTAAATATACTCATTAAAATTCTGTTTTGGTTATTTTGCATTCCATAAATGTAAATTTGTAAGTATGTGTAGGTATGTAGAAAATTTTAATCTACCGTAATGCTCCGTGGGAAGGAAATAAAGGGGACAATGCTTTTTTATTAATGAAATATCCATCCTTACGGGTAGTCCCATAGAAATGATTGTGTTAGAGGATATTTATCATTCAGACAAATTAAAAAGAGGTTTAAATGTCTGAGGGTTTTACAAGGCTTGAGAAAATTGTGTGCAGTGGATCTTACCATCTTAAGATTTATTGTGAAGTAATGAGATTAATTTTGTCCAGGTGGTTTATTTTATACCTTTATTGTAATGGAATTTAATAATGTACATAAAAACAGCTCTGATTTTGGTTGAGTACTGTGGATATAAAGTTGTCAATATAACTAGAGACATTGACTAAGTAGCAAATTAAAGAAACTTTTTAGTACTCCTAGAATTATCAAAACTTAAAGTTTTCAACATATCATTAATATATATGAGTCTTTTCATAAAGAAATAGTTGTTGGGCATTATTTTTCACACTGAATTATCTTTGAAATATTGCCAATGAAATGTCCTGCTGACATGACCTTTACAAGGGATGCTCATTCCTATGTAGCACCTGATCCCATATCTGATGTTTTCAGAGGTCTTTGTTTGCTTTGCATACAAGTGGTATTACTTTTGAACATGATACTGATTGTTATTTCACAATTCTTGCTAGAAATTGCTTTTCCATGAAATATAGAATATTATCCTGGGTTATATTTTATTAAACCTTATTGATCTATAAAGGTTATATGCTTCTGTACAAGACCTTCATCATTTGTTATTTGATAAAAGTATTGCTTATTTATATACTTTATTGGCTCATGTTGCTAATTACAGCTTGGATAAATGTAATTTCATGAAGATAGGTTCTTTTCCTATTTTCAAATCTCATAATTACATAACTCTTGATGGATTTATGTATTCTGTTGATGATGAATTCTTTTAATATGTTTGCTCAAATTATATGATGTACAAGAAGAAATTTTGATTTGGATTAAATATTGGGGGACTTTAAATATCAAAACGTTTATATTCAGCTGTGCATGAAATTTTCTGAGAAACTTGAGCTGAATCCCTTGATAATTCTTTAAGTTTTTTAAAACATTAACAAAATTGAATAAAGTATGCCCCATACCACAGTTGTTTTTTTTTCTGCATTTGTAGCTCACCTGAGCAAAATCAAACATGTTAAAGGCTAAAGAGAACTGGAACAAAACTTGCTTTCTTAGATGTTGTCATTGAATTCAAGTCTGTTCAAATAACAAGAGGCCCTTGGTTTCCATTCATTTTCTTCACAACTGTTGCACATACTTAAATGAAATTTGGTATTCAGATTTATCAGATGAATATCTAGTTCAAGTTCTGTTTTGGGCACAACCGCGCCATTTTTGACAGAGTTATGCCCCTTGGACTTAGAAAATTTCCAATTATTTGCAGTTTTCGTTCATTTTTTTTTTTTGCAGAGGTTGCACATACTTAAATGAAATTTAGTATATATGAATTATGGCTTTGTCATTCTTGAATATCTAGGAATTTTCATATATTTGTTTTGGGTACAATTTGGCCCCGCCATCATTTTGAACAAACTTATGCCCCTTGGACTTGGAAAAATTTGACAATTATGGGCTCTGTCATTCTTGGCATAAGTGTTTTACAAACATCTCTTGTTCTAATAAGTTTTTGAAAGTTTAAAAATTGTGCTCATGCAACTTGTAAATATAACCATAATCATAATGGCATTGTTATTTTAGACTTGTTGCAAAAAAATGATCATTTATATGCTTAAATGAAGTCCAAGGGATGATTCACATATTAAGTGTAAAAGTTGTGTTTTGTAGGGACACCTATCCCATGATTCTTGTGGCCAACAAAGTTGACCTTGTACAACAGCGGAAGGTCACAGAGGAAGATGGAAAGAATCTGGCAACAAGGCTAAATGTAAGTATATATAATACATGTATATATATAGTTAAAAAAAGGTTTGAATTGATACCTGTGCAATTCATTCATTCCCTTTTTACTATTCTCTGAGATACTGTATACAGGGTCATTTTCGCCCCTTGTAATTTTCACCCTTTCATACTCGCTAACAATTTCGCCCCGTTTTAAATTCGCCCAAACATGACAAGGGCAAATTGGGTGAAAAAAATGGGGCAAAAATGTCCATGTATACAGTGTTTTGTAATCTGCCCCCCTGTTTATTGTGACACAGTGTGTCCTAGTACATGCTGGATTAAACAGGTGTGATTGTATATATGGCAGAATTTATCAACTGTAAATGCTTTTGTCACAACCTATATGCTAATTAAATGCTGTAAAGTTTGAATTTCATTATGTTTTATTGTCTCTGTAGAAGCTGTTGATTCAAATAAGGCCAAGAAAAAAAATAGTCTTGTTTCCTGCTACCCGACCTACCCTATGTTTTTGCACCCGACCCAAAAGTTTTTAGCTTTTGGGAAAAAAATTGGAAAATGCAGGACTTTTATGTTCCAAAAGTGAAAAATATAAGTATGTATTCAAATTGTATTTCATGACATATATGTTTCAAATATGGACTTTCATAAAATTCCACTTGAGTTGTGCATCAAAAGACATGAAATTTCATTTTAAAAGATAATATTGACCTAGCTATGACATGTTTAATTTGGTACATATTTAAAGCAATATGAGCTGCATGTTTGACATATTTTATTGCAAAAATTAACTAATTTAATGACAGAAAAATAAATCATATAAACAAAAAATATTTGTGATGGAAATTTTTTTATTAGCTTTGATTGAAGCAAAATTGAATTATTGTTGTCCTGTACAATAATGATTTCTTATATAAAACTATATTCCCAGAAATATTTTTTTTAAACATTTTGGGCCTATTGGTCATAAGGGTTTAAATTACATACAAATTAATCATAATAGTTTATTTTACCAGCAAAATAAAAATCTCAAAGTATATAGCTCATATTGCTTTAATTTTTTCCGTTTGGCCATTGATTTTTAACGGATAGAGTTTGTATAACTATGATTTAAAATAATATCACATATATCACTTAAAACAGTATACTACTGATATGAAATTTTAAAATTTAATTTTCTATTCAATAAGCATTTTTTTCTTATAAGTTAAAAATTCAGTCTTGGAATTGTTAAAATAATGCACATGTTTATTTTATAGACATTTTTATTTCAAACAAACAGTACTTTCATTTCCCATGTAGCAAAACATATATGTACATTGTCAAGTGACTCCATGCATGTTAATTCTTAAAACTCCAAATCACTAATATACTATTAATTTGATAAAAATCAAAACAGGATATAATCAGTATGATAACATCGATGAAAACGATATGAAACCATGAAACTCTTCAACAATTTCAATATATTGAAAAGCATATTGAAAATTTGGCTTACAGTATGCATTCATCAGCTATCACAATTATCCCAATAAAGCAAATATCTAATTTCTCTTTCAGTTTAATTTTCAGTTAAAAAATATTTGTTTGAATATTGTCCTTGCAATGGGACTATTTTGTTTATTGGAAGTGTCTGCTTTGACGCTGTTTGGTTTTTTGTTTACTTTGCTATTTATAAAGACAGTCGATCATGATGTCTACAGCCAGGACTTTGCTTTCAGCAAAGCGCGGCTAAAAATATACATTTGCAGATACCATGTTAAAGAAGATCTGTATTCTTAGTTCTTTTTTTTTTACCATGGAATACATGTATCTACATTCTTATTTTGTAGATACCATACATAGAAACCAGTGCCAAGGATCCTCCCATTAATGTAGATCTAGCCTTTCATGAAGTTGTCAGGGTCATAAGGTTAGATTGTTGTTATGTATCTTATAGATAGAAATATTTAAAATGGAGTTTACACTTCAACCTGTTCAGTAATCTAAAATAAATATATTTTTAACAAGAGAGACAACTCCTACTTTTTAAAAAATGGTTTTTAAATATAAATTTTGTAGATAAAAACATTTTTATCCATAGTAGTTTGACAAATTTTTTTGCTTTAAAAATAAATTCTGAATGTTGGAATATGAATACTTTTTGTAGGCTGATGCCATTTGACCCCAAACAACATCGCCGGAGGAAAGCTCGGAAGTCAAAGTGCACCATCCTGTGATGTCATCTTCCTCATTGTAACAACGTAACCACTCTCCATCACAGCTCATCACCATCATCTTGAGGTCCAAAGGACTTCTGTAGTCAGCGCTGTAGCCATCTTATCATCCTACTATGTTACAGTTTCATTGGCGATCAGTACACCAACAAGATTTCTGTTGTTGGCTCTGCATGCAATGACCAATCTTGTAGACAGTGGAAGTGTAGCGTCTCTCTCTCTGCTCTTCGGTCCATAACTGTGAAGATTTCTGCACCTCTATTTGACATGTGACAATTGAGGCACTTGAGCAGTTGATGTACAAGAGTGAACTTTTTTTTGGCTACACTGGATCACATCTCTAGTCATCCTCATACTGTTAGTTTGTAGTTGATTTTTTGTTGTAAACAGCTCATATATATTTGGCATTGTTTGACTCAATGAGAGTCATCATTTGTTCATTTCTACTAGAATCACCTTTGTTTTGTTTCATAGAACTTTACCATTGTTATTTAGTGATGCATTGAAGACTGGTTGTCCTTTTTTTGTTGATATTAAGGATGGCTCACAAGTTTCTGATAAACACTGTCATTTGTACATTCCCTTTTTCATGAGTTCATTCCTTCATGTATTACTGTATTATCCTTAGATTTGTTTCTTGATGGCTCTAGAGAAAGGTTTGGCAAGCATATTTTGATTCTTGTCCTTGTTTTCTTAAGAAAAATTACTCTATATTTTTGAGATATATATTGGGATATATAAGAAGAGAGTGTTTCAGACTCCATTTTATATTGTCAGAAAAATCACAAATCTAGTCAATTTTATTTGGAGAAAGAATCAATGTTCTGGAATTTACAGCTAGGTAGACATAATACAAGTAAAAGATGTTAATTACTGCACATATTGTATAACCAATAAGCAAATATTTTTTTTAAAAAAAAAGTGATTTCTGGGGGGGGGGGGGGGTGGTCATGGAGGGACTAATGAAGTGGACTTTGCTAAAAGAGTTTCTTTACCCAGTATTAAATGGCATTGGAAAATGTCTTTTTAAGCTTTTATTTTTGTAGAAACATTTTATTTACCCAAGTCTTTTGAAAAAAAATTGTTTGGAACAGATGCTCAAATATACTGCCAATATAGTCATTTTAAATTGCCTGCTCAATACTTCTTATTTGTATTTATATGTGAATTTAAAAGTTATAAATGAACATGTAGTTACAATTGTGGTTAAAAACTGAACAAAAACATTTTTTACATTCCATTTGTTGAAAAATTAGTCCTAAAGTATAGATTTTTACATTCCATGATTTGTACATGTTTTTGAAGAAAGTAAATTCTGATCAGCTTTTTCTTGAGGAATAGCACTGGTATTATTTTTGTTTAGTGTTATATATTAATTCCAAGGTTGTAAAACAAACTAATTGTTAGCCTATTTTTATTTTGTTTGTAATTTGTTTTGTTTTGTTGTTTATTTTTTTGTCCTGAAAAGCCCTGTGATTTTTCCCCCCTTAGAATTTAAGATAGACCAATTTTTACAAAAACTGCTCTGAAAATTTATATTTTCCCCACCATTAAGAAAAGAAAAACCATGCTATAAATAATTTTTATTTGTTATTTATGCTTTTCATTTGTAAATGGCATCAAAACCATTGTTTATGAATCACACATTCTGTGTGTGTATTTTTTATGATTGTATGTGAAAATGACTTTTGGGGTCAGAAGTTATTTATTTCATATGTTTGACGTATTTAGTACATTTTAATTATTTTTTCTGATAGGTTGACGTATTTACATTTTTGGAAACTATATTTGTTTTTAAATAATATGTTTTAAAGGATTGCAATTTTTAAGTAACATTACAGCCTGTTCCTCTATACATCATTAACTGAATTTTTGGATGCTAGATTATGTGACCTTTTTGTCAAAATTGAGCTGGAAGTTAATATGTGCGAGAAAGATTAGTTTTATTTTGTACATTGTTCAATGAAGACATAAAGACAAGGAGAATGGGAAGAAAACAAAGAATCTGAAGAATTTTCTAAAGAGAAATATTTTTTTTATATAGCTATACACCATAATTTTCCCCTCTGCATTGTTGATACATGTATATGAATAAGAAGGCCAGAAGAGTTGTCTTTTTTGTTATTTGAGGCACCATCCTTTTTTTTTTTAAAGAAATTGTAACATCTTGATGTTAAACCATGAAAAAAAAAGATTTTGAAGAATTTATGACATGCTTTTAAAATAAAAATCATCATATTTAAAAGAAAAATTGTAAAATAATTGAAAAAATCTAACGAGTGCTGGATGCACATTAGATTTAGTTGATATGCTATATGGTGCCATTGATGTATGTTGTCTGTTTATGTGTCTCCCATTAAAGTCAAGTTTTAGGTTGTCTCAATCACAAGGTTGTATGTTGATTTTTACTATAAATGTCATTATTGATTTAACGATGATTAGTGAATGGTTTGTATAAATAGTGTGTGATAGTGATGTTTTTTTTTTTTAATTTTTAAATACTTATGTACAACATATTGTTTAAAACACAAATAATATTGAGAAATATTCTGCATAATTCTTTTGAAATTGTGGTTTGATAGCATAAATCAGCTTTGAAAATATTTTTTTTTTTGGTAAATATTTTTAGTCATTAACCAAATTTTTTTAAGATGAGTTTGATAACTGTATTTTGAGAATTAGTTGTTTTTTACTGTCAGAGTATAACAGTAAGGTTGTTTTTTTAAGGGAATCAAAAAGGTTGTGATTGTAGTAGTCCCAGGTAATAAGAAATTTAATATTCCTGCTCATATTAAACATGTATGTACATTATTAAAAGTCAGTTTTTATTTTCTGTGTTGATTATAAATTTATGACATTCGATCATTACATTTAAATGATGTTATGTGCACCATCATAATTCCAATTTAATTTAAATTAGATGTTGAATAGATCCACTCACATACTCGCTCACTACAGGTATGTTAGGGCAGCGAGTATGCGAGGGGATCTAACATCCTATCTCAATTATAGGATGTTAGAATTTATTATGAATATTTAATTGATATGCTTTGTCTCTAGATTTCAAATGTTTTATTCACCTTTTAACTGGGATTCAAACCATCTATCTTCATAATCATTCATTCTGAAGAACAAGTAGGACATATACACAAATTTTAACAGTATGCTCATTTCTTTATAAGTATTGATATGTTATTTATTTGAATGGATCAATCAGTAAAATTATATTATATAATGAGTGTGACTTGCAGAGTTCTTATTTCTTAAAGATTGCAATGTATTTTTTTTTGTAAGAAAAGGAGAATATCATACTATATATGAAAACTATATCAATGGAATTACTAGTAATCATCAGGATGAACTCTGAGGACCATAAACAATAGAATATCATGTTACTTTCTACTATGCTAATCACATCTATCTAAATCATCAACAACCTACACTTGTATCTCTACATGAGGCAATCACTTTTATCCAAGCCGTCTACCTATTATAACAAAGTGCTTTTAATTGTTGGTATCCAAACCAAGGCCAGAGCTCCAACCAATCAAAATTTTTTGGTCATGATTAAAGTTTGATGTATTTTATCAAAAGTGAGTCGAACTCCAAGGTCAAGCGATGAAAAATCCTGTTACCCAAAAGAAAAGCTTTGCCTCAATGAATATATATATGAAATATAGAAGTCCAAGCACTAACCAATCAATTAAAGTTATGTCCGATTTTAGATAAATATTTTTTAAATAATGATCAAACTACAAGGTCAATCACAAAAGGCAAAACTGAAGGTTTTAAAGGGAAGGCCTTGTAATATCAAACGAAATGTGAAATATTAAAGCCCAGGTATAGCTAGCACCAATTCTTCAAAAGTTATGGACAGATTAAAGTTTTACAAAAGTAGGCGAAGGTCAAGATCAAATGGTCAGAATTGTTGGTATCCAAAGGAAGGCCTTGTCAGAAGGAATAATCCTTTGCTAACTGTTCAAAAATATAAGTATAATTATAAATTATGTTTTTAAAGTTATGTTAAAGGTAAAATTTCTTTAGAGGTGGGTCAAACTCAAAAGTCAAAGTCAAGAGGTTAAATATGTTGACACCGAATTGCAAAGAAAGGTCTTGTAATAAGGAATACACATGTGAAATACAAGTCAAAGCACCAACCAATCAAAAGTTATGGGCAATGTTAAAGTTTTTGCGGACAAACAGTATTTTTAATAGACAGAAAGGCGGACAGTGTAGAAACTATATACTCCTAATCGCCGATTAGGGGTATCAAAATATGCATAAAAAGCAAAAAAATGTTGTTTCCCAGCTAGATGCATACCCTTGTGTGTAGATTTCAGAATCTTTTATAACTGAGATATATCGACAGTTTACTAGCCTGACGTTTGATTTCTACCACACAACAAGCTAATTCAGAGAATTCGTGTCCCCCGCTTAGGGAAAAAGTCGGCTCCCCCTGACTGAATTTGTAGAATTATTAAATGTATACATGTATACTGAAGCAAATAAAATACATGTATGTCAATATGCATATAAAGATTTGATTGCTTATTCTTCATTATGTGTATAGAAGATTTTTTTATATGGAATTTTTATCACACTGTAATGATGATTTTATAACCTCATAAAATTTTCATTTCACATGCTGAATACTATCATTTAGTTAAGAAAAAAAAGTATTTAGAAAAAAAAAGGCTCGATCGAGATTTGATCCCGGGACCTCTCACACTTGAAGCGAGAGACATTTTTTTTTTCTCTTTTGAAGCGAGAGACATAACCACTAGACCAAGAATCGCTTTATTTGGTGTGAAGTATATGCAGAAGTGAAGTCACATACATGTATATATTCATGTTTTCATGTTCGGTATTCTAAAAATTTTACACAATCCATGGTGTTTGATTTATTTAGCATTTATTAAACAGTTCTAATAGATGTAATAAGAACATAAAGTCCGCCGAGAACCCAATCGGCAATCCTCGGCTGACTCCGCTACGCTCCATTCAAACGTGGTACGAGTCATCCGAGGAACTCCGATTGTGCGAGGTACGAGTCATCCGAGGAACTCCGATTGCCGAGAACCTGTTTTATACGCAATAACTCTCCTCATGCCCCTGCGCTAAAAATAGCGACATGTAATACTATAAATACTAATAAAACAAATGGGGCGGGGCACTTTGAGAGGGGCGAGAGACGTCCTAGGGAGTTTTGATATAAAATTACATTGCATAAGCTCAAAATCTTCTTGAAATATCGCCCGGAAATAATAGTATTTCACACAGACAGAATGTATAAATTTACGACCTTGACCTTTGACCTTTTGACCTCTAAATCAATAGGGATCTTCATTAGGGAGTTGTTATATAAAATTTCATTGCAATTAGCTCAAATGGTTCTAGAGATATCGTGTGGAAACGAAAGTGTTTTAACAGACAGAATTTGCTTATTTATGACCTTGACCTTTGACCTTTTGACCTCAAAATCAATAGGGGTCTTCTTTAGTCCACAGGGAGTTGCTATGCTAAATTTCATTGCAAAAGCTCAAAGGGTTCTCGAGATATCGTGTGGAAACGAAAGCGATACAGACAGACAGAAAGACGGACGGACGGACGGACGGACAAACCCAAATTAATATCCCCCACTTTTCAAGCGGGGACAATTAGTATATGATTTCAAAAAGCTACCACTCCTAGGAAAAATAAACAATAACAATTAGTATATGATTTCAAAAAGCTACCACTCCTAGGAAAAATAAACAATAGCCTTTTTTTAGTTCACTTTTGTTCCGGACAGACGATAAGTTCCCCAAATATCTGCTTTATATATCTTTGATATATATGCATATAATTATATGAAAATATTTAAAATTTTAAT